CATGATAAAATCTATGAAATGAACAGGAAGCTTCAATTCGGTTAGAACACTTCTGATGAAACTCCAAGATAACCGATCATAAGCCTTCTCAAGATCAATTTTGATTGCAAAAAATCCCCTCTTCCCTCTCATTCTGCTCATGGAATAAATCATTTCCTGAGCAATGATTATATTATCCTGAATCTGCCTCCCAGGGACAAAGCTGACTTGATAGGGAGATGTGAGCTTTTGCATAAGAGGTTGTAATTTTTTCACAATTAATTTACTGATCCCTTTGTAAAGAACAGAACATAAAGCAATGGGCCTAAATTGACTTATTTTTTCTGGTTTTTGCATCTTAGGAATCAGGACCAGAAATGTTTTGTTGATCTCTTTGATATCAGCCGGTTTGCTCCACATATGTCTCACACACTCACAAATTTGAGTACTCACAGTATTCCAGTTTTTCTGAAAGAAAAAGGCTGGAAATCCATCTGGGCCAGGTGCTTTCAGAGCACCCATAGAGAAGAAAGCATCTTTGATCTCTGAATTCGAAACCTTCCTACTCACCTATTCCAATTCACTCTTCTCTAATACTGGCCAATTAATCTCAGTAGCAATCCAATCTCTACAAGGACGATCTTCAGAAAACAAATTAGCAAAGAAAGAATGGATCAGTTTATGAAGATTACTCTCCTCTCGCACAAAGTGACCTTCATCATTTTTTAACTCTGAGATTTTGTTTCTGGCCCTTCGGATGATTGTAGTGGTATGATAAAACTTAGTATTCCGGTCACCATCTTCAATCCATCTACATCTGGCTTTCTGGAACCATAAGGCTTCCTCTTGATGCATAACCAAATCAGCTCCTCTTGCACAGCTGCTTCTAACTCAGAAACTTCTTCCTCTGGCAGATAAGGAGAATTTAGTTGAATTTCATGAAGTTTTTTCAATAAAAAATCCTTCCTCACCCCTATGACACCAGAAACTCTTTGGTTCCAAGATTTCAAAGTCTCCACAATATTGGCAAGGCTATGCTGAATCTGCAGATTAGACCTCCACACATCTTGCAGAAAATAAGGAAAGGTTATATGATCTTGCCAAGCTGCAAGGAATCTAAAAGGCCTTTCTTTCCAATTATTCGCCATCGGGTAGAGAGAGAGGAGAATAGGATTATGATCCGAGTTCAGCCGAGGCAAGGTTTGAGCAAAAGCTTCATCAAAAACTGTCCTCCACTCTGCATTAGCACACACCCGGTCTAATCTTTTAAAAACCCTATCAAGATGCAGCCATCTAGGCCCTCTCCAAGTGAACTTAGCTCCTCTACAACCAATATCCATGACATTGCAGTCATTTAACACAGAACAGAACTTGGAGCATCTAGTAAAATTAATAGGAGCACCTCATTTTTTCTCCTTAAATGACATTATCTCATTAAAATCCCCCATCATCATCCAAGGGCCCACTACATCTCCTCCAATTCAAATAAGATCAAGCCACAGAGCCTCCCTTAAATCCTCCCTAGGGCTAGCATACACAACAGTCAACAAGAAGGAAGGACCAAAATTGAGATTACAACTAACATGGATAAATTGATTCTTTTTTTCAATGAGCTGAACAGAACAAATCTCATCCTTCCATAAGATCCAAATGCCACCAGAAAATCCTTCAGCATCCTCTATCACTGCTTGATTGAAGCCAATTTGTTTTATTTTTTTCTGTGCCAACACACCACTTATTCTGGGTTCCAAGATGGCCACAAGACCAATCTTGTGTTTCCTTATGTAATTGCAAAGGGTCACTTTAAAAGGCTTTTTAGTTGCACCCCTGCAATTCCACACTAGGCACTTCATTGGCAAACAATGTTGGCACCAGGATTACAGAGTTCCTGGTTACTTTCCATCAACAGATCAGATTGCTGAGCATCAGCACAATTCTCCATCTCCAAACCAACCATATTTTCTGCATCCGGAAGCACCCCTTCCTTTGGAAGAATATTCAATTGGGCATCAGCTAACTCCACCACCGAGTTAGTCAAATTCATGTCTGACTGGTCTAACACAATAGAAATTATTCTCCTTATCCATGCAGACAGACCCAGCCACCTCCTTGCTTTGCACACCATAAGCAAATTTAGTAGACCTGTCATTGCCAAGAATCTTCTTAGTTGAACCATTAGCAATAGAACCCTTCAAAATCTTCTTAGGAACTGTCCTTGGCTTAACCGAGGAAAAAGTGAAGTTAGTTTCTGATCCCATGTTGCTTCTGCTGGGCCCAGGAGCTGAGGAGTTATTACCCGCCTTTCCTTGAGTAGAAATAAGTTTATATACCTTTCCTACTGGAGGATCCTGATAAGAGCCATTACTCTTTCTCCCTTTAGGATGCAGATTATTGTTGCTTGAAACAGCCTTAACATGTTGATCCCCCACTGAGATATACTCATTTCCTTTAACATTAGCATTTTTCAAAGGAGCAGATCTGTTAAAGTTAGTGAGATTATCTCCAAAAGCCCTCCCATTCACATTGCCATATTTGGTTACGGTTTGAGTCTTGGATTTCCTTCTCTGGACAACCATCCAGGGCCCAACTCCTTGGCTAGCTGTTTTCTCCACCTCATTACTTCCAGCTTCATTGTTAGCATCCGCAGGCTTAGCACACGCTGGGCAATTGTCAGCATTATGCCCATAGCAACCACACTTAATGCAGATTAAGTATAAACCTTCATACTCAACTTTAAACACATCATCTTCAATCATATACTCACCCCTTAAAGGTTTTGAGAGGTCCAGATCTACACAAACTCTAGCAAACTTTCCTCTCTCCCCATTTGAAGTAGTCTTATCAACCTTAATAACTCTGCCAATTAAACTACCTAAGTAGTTCAGGAAGTGATACTCACAGAATTCCTGAGGGATGCCAGGAAGACGGATCCATGCAGCAACACGGTGGATGTTTTCCTTGAATGGAATGAAGAAAGGTTCCCATTGTCTGATGGCTAAATAATGACCTAGCAACACCCATGGTCCTCCATTCAGAGCTATGTTCAGATCTTCTAAGCTCATAAACTTGACAGAAAAAAAATCATTACCCAGGTCTGCAACCACAATCGATCCAGACTTGGCCCATAAGCTTTCAAGCTTGATCTTCATATATGAAACCCCAACTTTCTTACCCAGCAATTTAAAAATTAGCGCGTTCCTCCAGGGGCTCCTCATCCGTTGTTTTGCTTCCTCAGATTATCTTGTTCTGATTGAACCATCATCCTCAACGATGGTCTGAAAACCCCACTTAGAAATATCCCCCTTAGACGGATCTAGGGGAACACTCTTTTCTTGTTCATCTTCCAGGATCCAGTGAGAATCCTCCCCCACCGGTTCATCAGCCTTTCGAAGAGCATCAGCGAAGGATCTGATTGATTTTGTTTGGGAATTTCTTGCAAGAAACCCCAAACCAGCACCTCTATTAGTCGAGTCAGCAGAGAATTCTTCTCCACCCTTGGATCTTTTAACACTTTTTCGTAAACTATCAGGAGAGTTGAAACTAATCGCCGGAGAGCCACTATGAAATTTCTCTGGCGACGACATGATCGGAAATCTAATTGAAAGGAGAAAGAGAGAGAAAACAAAACTCGCGTGGCTTTCACGCACCTAACCCATTTCTTTGGATCCACTTGTATCTAATGGCTCACATTACTACAAAATTAGAGCTCTTAGATATAAATGGAATCAACGGACAAGATTAAGAATATAACTTACACTATTATAAAATGATCCTGACTCTCACACACACATATATACGGAGAATGATATATTTACCACAAAAAAAGTTTACCACATTTACAACCAACCTAATCACGGTTGATTTTCGTCAATCTAACGATTATAATTTATTGAAAATTATTGGATCACATTTATTAATTAATTATTATTTCCAATAAATTACAACTATTATTTTGACCAAAATCAACGGTGATTAAGTTGGTTGTAAATGTGGTAAACTTTTTTTGTGGTAAGTATATTCTGCCCTTATATATATATATATGTATAAAATGGGGAAAATGTGTATTATTTTAAATGACACAAAGTCGTGTCATTTTAAGTAAGAGAAAGAGATAAATCATAGAAAAAAGAATGAGTGATTTTTTTTTTAAAATTTGGGTCTCACCTTTTTGTAAAAGTGAAATAATATAAAGTGTGTCATTTAAAATGACACGCATTTTTTTCATATATAATACTGCTTAATCTGTTCTTTTGTTTTTTTAAAAGCTTATTAGGAATTTTTATCTAAAATATGCTTATCTAGAAACCTACCTAACAATTTTATATAATAATACAATAGCAACGTTCACCGAACATGACCAAGTAAAATCCATTTGCTGTGTCACAACACCCATAGGCTAGGCACAAGATATTCAATTTAATATTTCTGCATGAGTGTATTTTGAAACTTAACATTCACTTATTACTAACCCATTAATATTTGTCTCCAAATTTCATTTTTGAGCCCTTTATTTTGGGTGCACCTAAAGCAATTTAGTAAACGAATGGTTGACACTGGACACATATCATTATATCGTGTATTGTCACTGTTTTATAGTTAACTTATTTTAAAAAATAAAAATGAATAAAAGTATAACCAAATCGTGTATTTTTTTATTTGAAAAATAATAAAAAGTAATGTAAAAGTTTTAAGTGAAAGTAGGATTTCTGATTCTGAATAATCAAATAAAGTGAAACGGTCATTTTCGAGTTGAACACTTTTTTGACTTGCTATAATAAATAATACAGATGGGTGGGCGGGGATAGATAAGTTACGGGAGACCGCAGGCGCACAGCAACACGTGGCATTTGACAACTGTAATTGAGTCTTCTCAATCGTACACCAAAACCATAGAATCTCTCCACGTCACAGACAAATCTGAACGGCTCTGTGATTGTAGCACAGCCCGGATACCAAAACCACCAAGCACGGCTCTTGTATCATGTCATTATTGCTTTGTTGTTCTTCAACCTCGCTTCACCGCCACTCACTCTGTCTTTACTCTTAACTAGGACGAGTTTGAAATGAAGAATTATCATATTTGAGATTTGAGAGGCTTTTCAATATCAATTGTCTGTCTGTGTGTGATTAATATGGTTTCTTCGGAGAAAGATTCTGACTCCACCATTTCAAACAAAATTCAGCGACACATCGGAATGTCCATGCGAACCATACGCTCCAATATATTCCAAGATGACCATGCTTGCTCCGAAAGATCCACCTGCGTCTCTAACAACTTGACCGGTACCCTCATAGACCTCGCTTCTCGAAACAACAAATCCGTTAAATCTTCCTCCGTTACGGAAGAACAACTCCTCGAACTTTCTCAAGCTTTCAGCGATTTCTCCGCTTGTAGCAGCGATATCTCCGGCGAGCTCCAGAGGCTTGCCACCCTCCCCTCATCGGAAAACAACCACGCGGCTGCTGACGTCGACAAGCAACCTGAGCCTGAGCCTGAACCCTGCGTAGGGTTCCTACAAAGGGAGAATTTCTCCACCGAGATTATCGAGAGTATTTCGCCGGAAGATCTTCTGCCGACGGTGAAGATCTGTATCGAAGGGTTACGATCGACGTCTGTCGCCGTTAAGCGATCGGCGGCGGCCAAGCTGAGGCTGTTGGCCAAGAACCGAGCTGATAACCGTGCTCTTATAGGTGAGTCCGGTGCGGTCCCTGCTCTGATTCCATTGCTCCGGTGCAGTGATCCGTGGACGCAGGAACACGCCGTGACGGCGTTGCTGAATCTGTCTTTGCTGGAAGACAACAAGGTGCTGATAACGAATGCGGGTGCTGTGAAGTCGCTGATTTATGTGCTTAAGACGGGGACGGAGACTTCGAAGCAGAACGCGGCTTGTGCGCTTCTGAGCCTTGCGTTGGTTGAAGAAAACAAGAGCTCCATCGGTGCTTGCGGGGCAATACCACCGCTTGTTTCGTTGCTGTTGAGCGGTTCAAACAGGGGAAAGAAGGATGCCCTGACGACGCTTTATAAGCTGTGTTCGGTGAAGCAAAACAAGGAGAGGGCGGTGAGTGCCGGAGCGGTGAAGCCCCTGGTGGATCTGGTGGCGGAGCAAGGGAGTGGTATGGCTGACAAGGCAATGGTGGTGCTGAATAGCTTGGCGGGGATTGAAGAAGGGAAGGATGAAATTGTGGAACAAGGTGGAATAGCTGCTCTTGTGGAAGCAATTGAAGATGGGTCGGTGAAAGGAAAGGAATTTGCTGTTTTGATTCTTGTACAGTTATGTGCTGATAGTGTTAGGAACAGAGGTTTGCTTGTGAGGGAGGGTGGGATTCCTCCACTGGTTGCTCTTTCTCAGGCTGGGACTGTTCGAGCTAAACACAAGGTTAGTTGCTAATGCTACCAATCTCAAAGCTTATTGTTGTTTCTCTATTCTCAACTATAGTTAGTTTGGACTTTGGATGCTGTACAGTACAGACTTGCTTGCTGGTAAATTGTATTGAAATATGTAATACGATTGTGTTATCTGTTGTCCTGATTTATGCCTTCTTCTGAAATCTTGGGACCTTTTTATTCTTCCCATGATTGTTATGTACTTATGTCATTAGCAACAACTGGTATCATTTGAACAAACTTTAGGGCAGATTTTTAGGTGTTTCCCGAGCATGAGATTTCTAACGGATTAAAAGTGGGAGATAGTAATATAACTGAAGTGATACACAGGACACATACAATGCCATCCGGGAGCACCCCTAATAGTTTCTCCAAACTTCGGATAAAAATAACATTAAGTAGTCTTAGAACGAGAATTGTAATAGGTCTATAGGAGAAGATATGATTTTACGTAATTCAGTGATCAGGAATTGATTTTACATAATTTGATGACCATTAATGATACATTTTTTTTCACCCCAAGACATCATAATAAATAGACCCTTTAGCATTATTGTATCTGCTTTTTTCCATTTATAGATACCTCAGTTCAAATAAATTTTTACCTTATACATGGGATGTAATATGTAGATAATGCGTGTTGCGTTTTGTTAATAAATATACTTTTGTTGCCTTCATTGATTTTAATTTTAGTTCAAACCTCTGTACAGCATGTATTCTCTGCTTTTTCCCCCTTAGACACTAATCTTCTCACGTCCTCCACCTGGCCACACTCCACCCACTACCTTCTAATGAAGTTTCTGGTTGGTTTTGCAGGCTGAGATACTCCTTGGATATTTGAGAGAATCAAGACAAGAAGCATCCTCTTCAAGTCCTTAGAGAAGTAATTACTACTTAGGAAGATAATTATATATTATAATTGGTTGTTGTACATAGAGTGCTTTTGATGATTTGTAACTTTGTACAGTGTGCATGTTTTCCAATTAGAAGCCAGCGGTAGACTGACGTTTAGATGATTTATCTAGGTTCAGGGTTTCACTTTCCCTTTGTTAAATTTGGTATTTTTCCGGGAGTTATGTGGTTGTCTTGGTTTTAGTTGATTAATTTTGTTTGTTTAAACATTTCCTTGTTTTGTTTCGAAAACCCTAGTTTTTTTTTTAAAAGGGTTATATTGCCTATGTTGTGATGAAAGTACGGCGGTAGTCCATTAATTTTTATTTTTGTAAAAGTGGAGCCGTTTTTTTTTTTAGTTCAAAATGGATCTTTAATTTTACGTTTGATACTGCTAACTATTGCATAGGCAAATAAATCACCTCCATTCATCTTGTTACCAAAATAAAAATTAAAAATCACGTCCATCTGTTTCAACAAATTTCCCTTTGGCGTCATTAGCACCCGGAACTAGTGTTCTTAGCGATTAAGCTAAAACTTTTCAAGCGTACATGTCATTTTTCGTACTGTGTAATTCTTGATTTCTTGGTTGCTTGCCAGAAAAATCTAGAAAAGTAACTATTGTATCTTTTCTTGCTAAGATTGGCATGTAATCGGCTGGAATGTAGTTTGAAAAAATTTGTAAAATCTTTCTTGCTAAGATGACATAAGCGGGTAAGCCAGCAACTTTATCAATAGTAGTATAAATTAATGACATCAATTATTAAGTATTGTTTATTGAACACAAAGTAGGAATGTTCATCAACCAATCCAAACCGATTCAAACCGCGGTGACCGAACCTAAAAATCGATAACCGAAAAACTAAAAACTGAAAAAAATCGCAAATTTTAATTGGATTGGATCGGTTTTCGGATGGGTTGATGAAAATCGATCTAATCCAAACCGATCCAATATATTAATTCCCCTCTACCTACTTGGACATTTCTCCATTTCTCCAATCATAACCCAACATTTTTTAAATCCAAGACTCATTAACCCATCAACTAAACCCAAGAAAAAATCTAGTCACATGACTCACATCCCATCAACAAAATTTTATCTGTGTAGAGCTTCATATCTCATTGCACAAAAAAATAACTATATTATCGTTTACTCATGCTTTTGTATTTCAAAAAATAAATAAATTTACAAAGCCAATATATAACAAAGATGTTATTTGCATAATAGTCATGAAACTAATTTTAGAATTTTCAAAAAACCGAAAACTGATCCAATCCAAACCGAAAAAAATTGGATTGGATCGGATCGGATTCGAAAAAAAATTCAAACCGAATGGATGATTACACGATCAAACCGAAGAAATTGGATCGGATGGTTTTTGCTTCCAAAATCGATCCAATCCAGACCGCGAACACCCCTAACACAAAGCAACAATGAATGAAAAATTTGTATTATTAAATATTCACTTTATAATTAAGATTGAGTTCAGATATTGTTTTTTTTTTTTTTTGGAAGCTTCTATTGTAATTCAGGTTCCTGCAATCCTCTTGATGCAGAATTATGGGGATTACTGAAAGGTTATGAACTGCTTTGGAGAACAGGATTAAAAAGAATAGAGCTAGAATGTGATTCTAGCCAAGCCATCCAGATGTTAAAGGAGCAGCATGAAGATCCTAGGGACTCTCAAGTCACTAGCAGATTGAGATTATGGTTAAAAGCAGATTGGACTATTCATCTTGTTCATACCAAGAGAGAAAACAACAAATGTGCTCATTAGTTAGCTAAAGCTGGGCAGACTAATAATCTCCATTTCAAGATTTTTAAAGATCCTCCTCCTCAGTTGATGGAACTTATAGTTGCTGATGCTAGAAATATGTCTAGCTTGTTAGTTTCTGATTTGTAATTTCTTTATGTTTCTGGGGCTTAGCCCCTCTTTATTTACAAAAAAGAGTTCAGATATTGTTAATAAATAAGAAAAGTAAAACGTATATTAATTCTTTCTATCATTAACAAGTAATTTAATAGGTTAAAATAAATTATATATGGGCTTATCATTTCTCAAGCGCTTGAGATAATTTTATCTCCGGTTATTAAATCATAACCGCACAAAGATGGATAAATGGTGATAAAGGAAGAGAGAGAAAAAGAGAATTATAACCATTCAAAGATGAATCAATTAATATAAGAAAATAAATAAACAAAACGACGTAATTTTTGGATGGCGGGAGATAAACTTATCTCAAATTGTCGGAGAAATATTTTTTCCATTATATATAGGGCTTTAATATTTCTATAGTGAATGTAGATAAGTTATCTACAACTTATCTACATTCGTTCTCAAAACGACGTCGTTTTAGGTTGAAAAATTAAAAAATTATAATGAAAAAGACTATAATAACACTGAAATAAATTATAATTACAAAAATACCTTGATTTCCGTTTCAAAACGACGTCGTTTTGGGCTCAATGTAGTTAAGTTATCTACATTGACCATAGAAAAAGTAAACCCTATATATATATAATTAACATGTAAGCAATACTTTAAATATTATATTATAATTTATAAATTCATCAAAATATTGACATAAAAGAAAATCGTAGAATTAATAAATTTTAAATATAAAATGGGGTATTACACATTATAGGGTTAGAAACATTTTTAGATTGTTTAAAAAAAAAACATTTTTAGATTAATTTATTTTATACTAAAAAATTAGTTAAAAAACTCTTTTGATTAGAAATTGTATACTTAATCTTGAGCTTTTTTAGACTTTATATTTATGAAAGCGAATTTATTAAAACTTTCGATGGGGTCCGGGTCCTAGTTATTTATGTTTAAGTGATAGATCCAAATAGAAATGCGGTTCTGCAAGGGTGGTAAGACCAGCAGTTGACCCGCTTTCTATGAACTTATCTAATCCAGTGTCATATCCAGTTGACCGGGTCGAACTATCAGAAGTGGAGAAGGCAAGAAGAGCACCAAAAAAAGTACACCAATCAATTTATGACTCTTTAGAGTAATACCAATGTCGTTCTCTAGCTACTATGTATGCTAGAGGGGATACTGATGTACTTTATACTACTGTGAAAAAATATGCTAGACGCGCTCAATTAGGTGAAATTTTTGAATTAGATCGTGCTACTTTGAAATCAGATGGTGTTTTTCGTAGCAGTCCAAGAGGTTGGTTTACTTTTGGACATGCTTCGTTTGCTCTGCTCTTCTTTTTCGGGCACATTTGGCATGGTGCTAGAACCTTGCCCTGTCGTAACGTCAGAATGCCGCATCGCATGGAGATCTGATCAGATACTATCCTGGACTATTACCTCTCTCTATGAAGAAAGCGGAAGCCCAGGTGATGAGGCTGTTGACGAAAACTCTAATTTCAGATAAATAAATATAATATTTTGATATTTAATTATCAATAATAGGGATATGATCAATTTATACTGGTATAAGAATAATAGTTCTTACACCAATTCTTAACCGTCAATTCTCGTGAATCTAAAGGTTATAATTTATTGGAAATTAACAATTAATTAATAAATGTGACATAATAAATTATAATCGTTAGAATATCAGAAATTAACGGTTAAAATTTTTTGTAAGACATATTATTCTTACACTAGTTTAAGTTGATCGTGCCGCTCAATAATATATTAATTCTTTTAGTAGATATTATTTTATTTTGAGAAATTTTCTTTTTACTCCATGTACTAAGAAGTCTTAGACCCCGTTTCAACTGTTAATTTTCGATCATTTAGTGGTTGTAATTAATTATTAATTTTAAATAAATTACATCATTTAGATGAATGAAAATCAATGACTGACATAGGGAGTAAGACTTCTTAATCATATACTAGAGTCAAAAAAATCCCTCCTCTATAATTTTATATGTATATATATATATATATATATATATATATATATATATATATGAGGTAGGATATTTTGACTACCAATTTTTTCTACTACCACTCCTCTACCACTTTAATCACCATTGGATTAAAAGTTATTTTTCTTTTCTCTCTCTTCATTCAACTTTTTCTCTAATCCAATGGTGATTAGAGTGGTAGTAGAAAAAATTGGTAGTCAAAATATCCTAACCCTATATATATATATATATATATATATATATATATATATATATATATATATATATATATATATTGAATTTCAAATTGTCATATATAAATATATATATATATATTAATTGACATATATTATTTTATATTTGTTGAGAGATTATAATATTTTTCTTATAATATATAAAATTGTATTTATTTAAATTTTGTAAAATAAGATTACTTATTTTTTTATAATTTAACATTTTGTTTGAAAATATGTTTTATGCTAGGCGTGTTTGCGATATGGATTTGATCGGTTTTGAAACAAAAATATTTGATCCAATCCTTTCGGTTTGATCATTTAATCATTCGTTTAGTTTTTTTTTTTAAATCGATCTCATCCAATTTTATTCGGATTGGATTTGATTGAGTTTTTGGTTTTTCGAAAAGTCTGAAATTTGAGTCATACAAATTAGGGGTGTTCATCAACCGATCGAAAATGATTCAAACCGCAGTAATCGAACCGAAAAATAAAATGTCGAATAAACAGAAAAAAATCGAAAAAAAAATCGCAAATTTTTTTTGGATTGGATTAGTTTTCGGATTGGTAGATGAAAACCGATCCAATCCAAATCGATCCAATATATTAATTTTTCTCTACCAACTTGGGTCTTTCCCCAATCATAACCCAAAAATTTCTAAACCCAAGACCCATTAACCCATCAACTAAACCCAAGAAAAAACTTAGTCACATCTCATCAACAAAGTTTCATATATGTAAAGCTCCGTATCTTATTTTTAAAAAAAACTATATTATCGATTACTGATGCTTTTGTATTTAAAAAAAATAAAATTACAAAGCCAATATATACAAAAGATATTATTTGAGCAATAATCTATAAACAAATTTTCGGATTTTCAAAAAACCGAAAATCAATCCAATCCAAACCAAAAAAAATTGGATTGGATCGGATTTGAAAAAAATCCAAACCGAATGGATGATTATGTGATCAAACCGAAGAGATTGGATCAGATGATTTTTGCTTCTAAAATCGATCCACTCCAGACTGCGAACAACCCTAATACAAATTACTATTATATCAAAATAAAGCCATTTAAAGTTACAAACTACTGAAAAATTCAAGTCTTCAAACTAAAACAAGTCTTAAAACTCACGGACAGTTAAAATAGATTATTAGACAATAAAGTCCTAAAACAAGATAGTTTGCTATCAATAATTCTAAGATTTTAAATCTACAAAATAACAAGATTTCACGTCACCATCTTTTGAAAATAATAAATACATAATGAGTTCGCTTTTTCTGCAGGTACTGCAGATAAATTATCTGCAATAAGCCTAATACGACATCATTTTGAGACGGAAATCATGGTGATTTTGTAATTTTAATTTATTTCAAGGTTATTATAATCTTTATAATTATAATTTTTTAATATTTCAATTTCAAAACGACATCGTTTTGGAAGTAAATGCAGATAACTTATTTGCAGTAACTGCAGAAATATTTTTCTGATACATAATACATTGAATTGGTTTTCACCAACTAAACCGAAAATTGATCCAATCCAATTAAAATATGTTAATTTGTTTTCTTTCTATTTTTAATTTTTCGGTTATCAATTTTTTTTTTAGGTCACCGTCATCGCTGTTTGAATCTATGGATGAACATCCCTATTTTATACAATAATTATTTCTAAAAATGTTTTGAATTTGAATTTTTTTCAATTGAAAAGTGATAAATAGTACTTTGAAAATAATAATATCCATTCTTACCAAAAATATAGATATTAGAGAAAAAAATTTAAGAATTTTATTTAATATTTTCACATAATACTTATCGTTTGAATAACGAATTATTTTTTAATACTGAATTTATGTAATGTTTTAGGATTTTATTTTTAACTTGGAATATATTGACATTTAAATTATAATTTAATTTTTTATTTATTAAACATATATGTAATTTATATACAAATAAGAATTAAATATATAAGCTAATACAAATTACCCAAATTCTTCGTCATTAAACCAAATGTAGTGCCTGTTTGGATGAACTTTTATTCTTAAAAAAGTTTTTTTTTTTAAATTAAAAGTCCTTTTGAGAATTTTTAGATATTTGGATAACAATTTTTTAAAAAAAACAAAATTTAAAATAAAAGTTAAAATGATGCTTTTTTTTAATAGCCAGTAGTTAGTTGCTTTTGAAAAAGAGCAAAAATTAGAAGATATTATATTTTTTATAAAAAATATTTTTTAGTAAAAATATAATATAAATTTGTATTTTAACCTTATCTTATCATACCTGTTTTATCTTTTCTTATTTCACGATCATGTTATTTTATCTCTCTTTTATTATAACTTTATATATAAAAGTTCTTTTTTATTTTTTTTAACATCCAAACAACTTTTTTTATGTAAAAGTGATTTTTAGATCATACATTCAAATGTAAAATAATTTTACCTTTTAAAAAAGTTATTTTAAACAAAGCAAACGCATGAAAAGTCATTTTTTTTTTTAAATTCATTCAAACGGACCGTAGTGCCCGGCTTATTTTTTACATCAAGGTGATACATGTTATCAAACCAAGGGGATCTAAGGAATAAATTTAAAATCACAGAGTTAAAGTGATTCACATCGTAACCGTAGGATGTGAAACCGAAATTTTCCTTTAAAATAAAGGGTTGAAGTTAGTGTCATGTGGTAGAAAAAAAAAATTATATCCATGGATTTGTGTACTTTCTTTAAAAAAAAAAACATTTATGTGGGACGCGTACATTGTTTTGCGTCGGCGGGATAAATAATTTTTTTTTTTGGGTAGAAATGATAACTTTTTTTTGGTAGAAATGATAAAAAAATTTTTTTACTATAACATGACACTCATTTAACCTAAAATAAATTAATTTAAACACAATGATATATTTATCTATTAAATAAAAACTGAAAGCCGTGTCAGGCAAATTAACTTTTATTTAATATATAGCCACGTAGTGTTCAACGTGGTTATTTGATCATTTTGCCACGTGCAAGAAGACAATCAATTGTCTTATTACTGTGCAGAAGAAACATTATAATAACATTTAGTTCGACTCCAAATCCTTCTTCTTGTCCTTGTGCTCCTCTTTCTGGTTACACGAGAAAGGTCTGAAGCCTTTTTGAAGTAACTTCTCGACCTCCTCGAACTGAAGGCCTTTGGTTTCAGGCACTAATAAAAAGATTGCGATGAGGGAAATCGTGGAGAATCCAGCATAGAGGAGGAATGTGCCAGCAGAGCCTAAAGCATTTACCATGCTTAAGAATGTCTCACTCATTATGAGATTAATACACCAGTTCGAAACTGCTGCTATACCTCCACCTAGACCTCTGAATCTCAATGGGTATATCTCTGAGTTCAGAACCCAAGGCACGCTTCCCATTCCAGGAGAGTATGCTATTATATACAATCCAAGGATTAAAACTGCTACGATTCCAATTTTGCTTGGACAACCCTGTGAAAACCATACTCTTTGTTTCACACGGCACACACCTCTGATACTCTTTTCTGCAGCCAAGCATGCTCCCGGAAGAAACTGCATAACACATATATAAATTAACAGAAACATTGCATATTTGATGAGTGTTTGTTGTATAATAAGATGAGATGAAGAAGTTGGTAGAACTTACTTCACTCTCGCCGTTGGAACAGAAGGCACACTCTGCTTGCAAACATTGCATGCAGTTCCATGAAGAGAAATTTGGGGCACTTGTGTAAGCCTTGCATGTTGAGTTTGTACCAAAAGAGAGTGTGTCCTGGTGATTAATTCCTGGAGCATGGTGAGCTGCCTGGTAGAATACACCACTTAAAACTACGAGGCAAACAATGATACCAGTCATGGAGATGAGCATCAATCTTCTCCTTCCGTATCTATCTATGAATATCATACTAATGATAGAGCCAACAGCATTTAGACCAGATGTAATCAGAGAAAGTGCAAGAGCCGTGGAGTTTGAGGCAATTCCAGCAAACTGAACAATGGTTGGGCTGTAATACATGACCGTGTTGATACCAACAAATTGCTGAGCAACTTGAACGGTAATACCTGCATAGAGTGCTCTTCGAATAACAACATTACTCAAAGCGCCCTTTAATTTCTCTCCAAAACTCTGCCCCATTGAGGATTCCTCTTCTTTCTCAATTTTGATGGATTCTTCCATTGCTTTCATCTCCTCTTCAACTTCATCGGGGCGATATATTCTTGACAGGATTTCCTTTGTCTCCTCCACCTTCCCCTGGGGTAAAAAAAAATAAAAATGAAATTTGAGGTGACCTCCAAAGAGAGATTATTTTAACTGTTTACAATTACAATGTACATTTATAAGGACTTAAGATGTTACTTGATCATTCATGAATGCAGACACATTGAAATAAAAAACAATTGATAAGTTGATAACCAAAGAGTCAAGTCCTAAAAACAAAGGGAAGCTAAGGATTTATTTTGCGCTTTATGTTGATCATTCACAATGTAGACATGGAGGTCACAAACAAGTCCTATAAGATGAGCCCAAAGAAATGGTTAGGCATCCATAAATAACAAGAAATTTTTTGCAGCAGTTAAATCAAACCTATAATTCATGAGGAATATAGGTTAGATCGCACTAAAAGCTTACAGTTCCATTGTAGTAATTAAGCATAAGACATCAATTGATATATAGCCCAATTTAGGCTATTAAACAATAAACATATGTAACCAATTATTTTGCCAGACATAAGACACATTTTTTTGAATTTGCAATACCTGTCTGTAGAGCCATCTAGGTGACTCAGGGAGTGAAAACATTAATACGAGCTGAACCGCGGCGGGAACTGCAGCCACCCCAAGCATCCATCGCCAGGTTCCAGGCGTCTGAAACAATTGACCAATTGAAGATTTAGAAAAATAACCCTTTGAAAATAGTTCTAAGGGCAATGTTATCCTAAAATTTTAAACTCGGGTTAGTTTAAAAATAATTTTAAGGGTCATGTTATCCATAAAAAAATTTAAACTTCAGTTACTTTGAAAATACTTCTAATGTCATGTAATCCATTAAGAATTTTAAATTTCAGTTACTTTGAAAAAACTTATTATATCCACAAATTTTAAACTTTCTTTGTTGCATACCTTGGTGAATGCCAAATTGATAAGATAGGCCAGAAATTGGCCACCTGTGATAAGCAAAGCATTGATACAGACTAAAGCTCCTCTGATATTAGCAGGGGAAGCTTCTGAGATGTATAGAGGAGCAGTCATGGATGCCATACCAACTCCCAAACCAACTAAAACTCTTCCAACAATGATAACCCATGGAGCTGGAGCAACAGCCATAACTATTGCACCAATAAAGAATAAAACATCAGCCGTTAAAATTGACTTTTTCCTCCCTAATTTGTCATTCATCCATCCTCCAAATGCAGCACCAAATATAGCTCCTGCAATTGCCATACTCACAATGGTTTCCTGCAAAGCCACCCCAAAAAAAAAAAAAAAAGTCATTTAGAAATAAAGATTAAAAATAGCTTCCTTCTTCCCTCACTTGTTCACAAAAAAAAAAAATTCAATATGATCACAACTCGCCTGTAGCCATGTTTTTTTTTCAACTTGTTCGAAATCCTCACGGATGTAAAGTAAGGCTCCAGAAATCACACCTATATGTGACAATTTGGTAAATAAATAAATATCATGTAATTAATGACAGCAACATCTGTAGACAAAATGATAAAGGGTTGTGTTACCTGTATCATAACCGAATAGAAAACCTCCAATGCCAGCAGATAAAGCCAGCCGCATAATGTAAGGTGAACCAGTTGCTCGGTTCCAACATTCCGTGAACTCGTTTTTGCTTGCAGCCTGGGGACCCCCCTCCATCTTTCTTTCTCAACTTTACAAACCCTACTACTTAATTACACTTCGGCGAGTCACTCTGAAAATGGCATGATCAATTGATAAATGAAGATTCAAATATAAAGTGGTTCCAAGGGAACTGCTTTTTAAAATCTATACTCGAGTTGTAAAATAAAACTACCGAACAACATGCTTTTCAACCAAAGTTAATGATCCTAGGTTCCACGGACGGAGCTCATTTCTTGTGGTCCCTCCCGTGTTCCTTATCCAAAAATGGAAGGAAAAAGGAATTGAGAGGAAATTTGAAAAGAAGAGAGGAATTTAACTGCAAGCGAATTTTTCCATTTTTGGAAAAGGAGTGCCCAAAAAACTATATACTTTGGAGCGTATTAAAAAAATCCACAAGGAAGACAACTGAAGAGAACAAAAAATTCTTGGGGTTGGAGTTTGTCTAAACCGCAAATAACATTGTTTACTATTTTTTTATTTTTTATTTTGTCGTAAGGTTGTTTACTATTGTTTGGCTTCTTCAAAGCTTGCTAGGCTGAAAATTATATATATAAAATAAACTGTCATCTAAATAAAAGAGAAAAACTCGGTGCTCCTGTTATTAATTTTTTTTTTGGAAAATAATTATTTTATGTTGTATAAATTAATTATATTATGTAATAAAAATAAAGTAGTGGAATTTATTCTTTTCTTTTAAAAATAATTGACCGTACTATTTCATTTTTATTGCATAAGATAATTAATTATTTTATATAATATAAGATAAATAGATCTTAATTTTTTTTCCTTTTTTAGTTATATTATTTTTTAAATCTTAAATTTTTTCTATTTTAATAAAAAAGAGCACCAAGATTCCAAGACTAAGATACATAGGAGTTTTTCTTATAAAAAAAAATGCCAGCTCTTCGTCGGTTCTTATCTTTGGATAAGGGAGTTGAATTTGAATCTGCTCAGTCAATGCTTTTATTTATTGTCATTAAATGAGATTCTTAATACAAAAGTCGGAACAGTAATCAAAATGTCACTGAATTTTTTTATCTAAATATCACGTGAACAGTGTTATTTTTTTAATATGTCATGTGGACAAGTTTACTACAGTGCCCAAGCACTTTTCTGGTGGACAACAAGTTTGTTATTTCCAGTAGCGAACTATGTTGCAATAAATGCTGACACATTGAAGAAGTTCGTTGCCACTTGCAGCGAACTAGGTGTGCCACGTGTCTGACATGCACCAAGTTCGCTGAAGGTCCGAGCGAACTAGGTGCCACGTGGCACAATCAGAATTAATGTATCAATCACAATAAAACATAGAAAATGAAAAAAAATAACAATTTAATTAATGTGCCAATTAGCAATCACAACTAATGTGTCAATCACAATTAGCGTACAAATATGATTAACTTTTGATTGTATCAATCACATTTAATATACCAATCACCAATAACTTCGGAAGACCATAACTTTTGATTCGGATATCCAAATCAGATATTTTTTATTTTATTTCATATAACTTTTCGAGATCTACCAACATATTTTATCTTTACAAACATCCTTCCAATTTGTAACAATGATATCACAAACAATTAATGTACCGATCAAAATTAATTGTGATTGATACATTAATTATGATTGGTGATTGATACATTAATTGTGATCAAAATTAATTGTGAATGGTGATTGATATATTAATTGTGATTAGTGATTGGTACATTAATTGTGATTAATACATTAATTATAACTAATTGTCATTTTCTTTCTTTTTCTGTTTTTTTATTGTGATTGGAACATTAATTTTGATTGGGCAATGAGATTGTGCCATCTAGCATACCAAGTTCGCTACCCCTGGTAGCGAACTTCGTCCAGTCAGCTTTTCCGGAAAAACTGTGCCACGTGTCACGAAATCATTGGTTACCAAATTCGCTTCAAGTCGTAGCGAACTTGGACACATGGTAGTCAACTTTTCCTGCCAAAATATGCCACGTGTAACGAAATCATTGACTATCAAGTTTGTTGGGCACTGTAACCGACTTGCCCACGTGGCATATTGAGAAATTGTACTGTTGGAATGTCATTTAAAAAATAAGTTGTGAAACTGTGGCACTTTGGTCACTCTATCTAGAATTTGTGTGTCAAAATTAAACACTCTAATTTAGGAAATGGATCTGAAAAAAATATGATACGGTGAAATGAAAAGATCATAATTATATAAATATAAATTAATAATTATAATTTTCTAATTATTTATTTTAATTTTCTTTTTATCGTTGATTTATCTTTACATAATTATAATTCTTTATATGATAATATCATATTTTTTTAGGGTTTGGTGTTTGTCATTTTAAATGATATAAGTTATGTCATTTTAGGAGAGAGATAGACACAGAAAAATAGAAATCACGGGAGAGAGAAAGTGAGTGGTTTTTTAATTTAAAATTTAAATAAAAAAAAAAATTCTGTGTCTGTCTCTCTTAAAAGGACAGAGTGTCATGTCATTTAAAATGACAAACATTTTTTTCATTTTTTTAATATGGCAAAAAGAAGTATCCTTTAGAATGACATAAGTTTGTGTCATTTTAGGTATTTTACACAAAGTACGACTGGTCGTACTTTGTGTGAAATTGAAAAGTTGCTTTTTTTCTCTTCTCAATCACATCGCTAAAGTGTAAAGTGAAAAAAGAGAGTAACTTTTCAGAATTACACAGAGTACGACCGGTCGCACTTGTGTCCTTTTGAATGACATACACTAAACCCTAAAGTTTTTACAATTCATGATTCAATTATGACTAAACACTTTACAAATTAATATACATCATTAAAAACATTCATCTAATACTTTAAAATTTTGGGTAGAATTAATTTTTATATGGTATCAAAGTTTCAATTGCTAAAAAGGTCACAAGTGATCCTCACTATCCCTTATTTTTGAGTAGAATTAAAATAATATTTTAAAATAAAAAATATTGAACCTATGCTATATCAATACTTCAACTCCAAAAAATTCTTATATAAAAAGATATATTAAAAAATAATATAAATTATTAAAAAAATCACATCCAACACCTTAAGGCTAGAAGCATGGAAGCTATAGGATAAGTATTCTTATCACTTATCCGTTATGTATATTGCATAGTATACGAAATTCCATCTCTCTAGGATAAGTATTCTTATCACTTATCCGTTATGTATATTGCATAGTATATGAAATTCCATCTCTCGCTGCTATGTGCCTGCTATAGCTTTGTCACTTCGTTGTTTTTAGAAGTTATAGAATCATAGGGTAGGATGGGTCTAGAATAAATTATTTATAGTTCTGGCTTGCATTTAATGCTTGCATATCTCTCAAATTTTCTGAGTCATAGTTGGGCAAAAAAAATAAATAAATAAAATTGTGAGTTGTTAATTTTTATCATTTTTTTCAATCAATAGACTGTCACAACTAATTTTAGTTTATCCATATAAAGGATTTTAATATTTTAACTAATTTTTATTAAAAAAATTAAAATAAAAATCTAATGATACTTGAACATGATGATTCAAGAAAACCAACATCAGAGAAAAAACAACAACAATGTCATAAATTTTTCTGTTCCACTCTCAAATAATTACAACAATGGCATTAATAAAATGATAATTCTCGGTGTTTCTTATTTTGCTAAACTCAGTGTTTCTTTTATTTGGCAGTTAAAGGTCAAAATAAAAAACAGAGATAATATACACAAGTTTTCTAAAAAGTAAAAAATAGATGTTATTTTTAGAGTTGTTTTTACAAAATAATCATTATCAAACAAATTTCTTTTATTTTAAATTAAAAAACTGTTTTCTGAAACAGATTAGATGTTAGTCCTTCTTCTTTTGTATTTTCATAATTTTACGGTCTCTTTTCAGACCATGCCCCACCCAATTTCCTAAGGAAAAATAATAATACCAAAATCATCTTTTTAAACACACATTGTGAGATTAAGTGATTAAATTAATGTCAACTTCATATAATTAAGGGAGTAAATTAATGTTATTTTTATCATTAAAGATTAAATTAATGTCACTTATCTTGAACTAAATTAATATCGTACTAATTTTTCATGGGTCAAATGATATTTACTACTAAAAAATATTTTATTAATTTTATGGTTTTTAGTGGAGAACAATCAAGGAAAATCATCATCCAAAAGAATAAAAAACTAAGAATATATATAAGGGGAAATTATATTAACTTCTCTCTCTCTGTTTTTTTTTTAGTATAACTTATATTAACTTCTCTTGGTATTGAATGAACTTACACACGATACCTATGAAAGTCAAAATAATCAAATCTGTCGAGTTGACTTGTTTATTTAATAAAAGACTGAAAATATGCTGACTCAGTTTAAACTTAAAAAGAAAAGACAAAAAACGCACGTACATTTACTTTTTTATTTTTTTTGGTGCCAAGACCTTTTTTTTTAATGTTTTTTAACCTATTTATACACTCATAAGTATCGTTAAAATGTTTTACTAAGATGATTCATAAGCAACTGATCAGTTTTTTTGTCTCTCAGTAATTTTTTATTTTTTTTAATAACGTCTCACAGTATACTGTATTGGTTGAATATTAACTCCTACATCTCAGAGCTTCAAATTTCTTGGGTTTGTATTACCCAAAAAATATTTGGGTTTGTATTACTTCAAAATCTTCATCCCATGTAAGATAGATATTACGAGTAGATAATCTCATACGAATTTTTTATATAACATAATTATATGAAGAGAAAAAAATGCAAATATATATATATATATATATTAATGATCATTTCCTAAACTTTGATGAAGTTTCATGAAAGTGGTCCAAGTTAAAAAATTTATACTTATTTCGTTATTCATATGACCTTATAAAATGAGACATTCACGTTGCAGGATCTATTCCCGTGAATTTCTTTGTCATGAATATGTCTATAATTAAGAATCACTTTTCCTGCTATCCTCTGCAGTTCCTACATGTTATGATATTAGGCACTACTAGTAGTATGGATTAGTGCAATCAACCTAATGTTATAATTTGTATTAGATTATTATGAAATATACACAAGAGCGTTAATTTACAGTTTAGAGATCCTATATTAATGAAATCATGATCATGGCAAATCCAAAAAGAACACACAAACAGATGCATAGAACACAAATTAAGAAGAGAATTCATTTCTTACCAAGGAAGATAGATAAGCTAGCCTCTATTTTTCTTTCAGATACGGCGCGGAGGACCAACTCCAGCTTCTTATCCGCTTTCTTCTTGTTGTTGAATATTCTTAGTTTTCGTTTTCACTTTTTTTTGTTCTTGTATTTCTCCAAAGTCAGACTGGGTTAAAAGACTAGTATTGAAAAGTAGCACACTGCGCTGTGAGAATAAATGTTCACCACAATTGTCTCTATTTATTCTCAAACAATCAATGGTTCCAATAATGGCAAATACCGAAAATGGCTAATGCCACACATGTTTTCTAATTTCATCTCATGCATAGCTGGCGGAAAAATCGCAAGCCTTATTTGTTGCCAAGTTCCCCATGACACATTAAAACAACCAAACGTTGCTCTCTCTGTTTGAATCAGATCAGACTCAACTCTCAATCTGGTAACTAAGTTCCAAATTTTTACTCCATCAGTAACAAATTCAAGGACAATTTTATCGCTAGCTAAGTTGTAATTGTATAGAACATTTACTATTTATATGTTTTAAAAACTACTTTATTATTACTGTTGTTAGGATAATTTATTCATTTTTTTTACTGTTTTGTTATCCTAAAAAATTTGCATGGATAATTTTGATTAATTTAAATTTATTTCATACATAAATCAATAACTCGGTCAGAAAGAAGTATTTAACTTCTTCCAAACAAGTAAAATATAATCTTATGATGATAGATATATATAAGTATATAACCACACAAAAAAATAAAAAAATTGAATACGTTGCCTTTTAATAAAAATCAGACTTAATACTTTACCAAAAAAAAAAAAAATCAGACTTAATATTATGATTGAAAAAAACTTATGATGTAATGAACAATTGAATTAGTCTTACACCCATAAGTAATAAGATACTTGGACAATAATAAAAGTATGTTTGAAAAAACTAATTTTTTTTGGTAGAGATCTTTTTTTTAAAGTTATTCTTTAACTTCTGAGAAAAGAACTACAACTTTTTTTAAAAAACTTGTATAATTATTAAATAACTTTAAAATATATTTTCTAATTAATTATTTTTAAAAATAAGAGAAGGGTCTAAAAGTTTTACAACTTTTTTTCTCACTATTAGATTAATTCTTAATCGATGGTTTAAAAAATTTTCTTCTCTCTCCTCATGACGAGAATGGTTATATTGGGATATAATATACTTACCACCAAAAAAGTTTACTACATTTACAACCAACCTGATCTCCGTTGATTTTCGTCAATCTAGCGGTTATAATTTATTGGATTTATTAGGTATTAACAATTAACTAATAAATGTGACCCAATAATTTTCAATAAATTTATAACCGTTAGATTGATGAAAATAAAGGTGATGAAATTGTAAAACTTATTGAACATATGCTCTCAGCTCTTATGTGCCAACTGATTTACCATCTTTGATAGGTTAAGTAGGTTAACCCACTTCGTTTATGATAGGTTAGTAGGTTAAATTGCCAGATTTTTTTTCAATCAATGAGTTGGTAATCAAAACGGATAAATTTTTTATTAATAACAAAAAATGACAAGTTAACCTGCTTAACCGTTCCAATCTACTCTTCTAAAATTAAAAATTAATCCAACGGGTCGACTGTGGTTAATGAGATAAGCGATGTGGGTTATGCAGGTTTAAAAGATGGTTTGGACTCTGTTATTCTCAAACTATGTTCGTGGAAGTTTAAGTCTTGTTATTGAATGGGCCTGCAAGTCTCTCAATCTTATTTCAAGATATATAATGATTAATAAGCTAAAATTATTTGTTAAAAGTATATTATATTGTTCATAAAATTAACAATAATATGTTGACCCCTTAACTTAAATTTAAATGTACTTTTTATAAGTTTTAACTTGCTTGTGTATTAAACGGTCAAGTAAAGCGAAACCTAAAGCAAACCAGACCGCATGTTGCTATGTCTCTCACCAATCATTTCATCTATTTCAATTTCAAATTTTAAAATGAAAATGAGAAGTCATTTAATGGAAATAATAGTATCTTATGTAATAGACACAAAACATGTGAGACTTACATTTTTTAAAAAATAAAAAATTGAATAAATGAGTGAGTCTCACATGTTTTGTATGTATAACATGCAATATTATTCTCCTATAGCATCAGACTAACATTCCTTTTCATTTAAATACATTATCAGTTTAAGTATGGCACTAGCTCCTAAGTATATGTTTGGGCAAAAGAGATAAGAGAAACAGAAAAAGAACAAAGAAGAACAAAGAATACGTTTTTTATTTCTAAATTAATAATATAAACTAAATAATGGATTGTTAAAAAGTTATATGTTATCTTATTTTATTATATCATTTTAAAAAATCTTAAAAAGGGGAAAGTTTAATACATATAATGTTTTTATCACCTTCCCTACTCCTCCATTCCACCATATCCTAAAGTGAGAAAAACGATGATCAAAACATATCCTAAAATAATCATACATCTTATTAAAGTTAATTACATACAAAATAAAGAAAGCCAGCTTAGTATCCTAAAGCAAGCCAAACATTTACGTAAAATAATCAAACATCTTATTGAAGTTCAATTGCATGCAAAGTAAAGCAAGCCAAACCACACATGTAGCATGTCTGTGTTTGGAACTTTGGATGAAAAAGAATAATTAGAGAAACGACAAATGATCCTCTCTCTGTCAATGAGATTAAGCTAACTTCCACAAAAAGAAGTTGAGAAAATAATCATTATATGTCAAGAATGGGATTCGAACCCATGCCCTTTCGGACCAGTACCTGAAACTGGCGCCTTAGACCAACTCGGCCATCTTGACTTCATTTGACTTCTTCGCCGAAAGATTTTATTTATTATTGATCTAGCTGAACGTTCATTAAAATCAACGAAATGGCAGGTTATACGACGATTGCAATATAAGTCTTAACGTTTCATAAAAAATCTTCTGATAAAGAATTTTATTTACAGATTGATTTAAAATTTGTATTATGAAAATTAAATTATTCCACAAAATATATCTGCACATGCGTCAGCATAAAACATAAAACTAAATCAATAAAATCAAATAATCTAAAACTTAGAATTTTTCATGCAACCTCTTATCTTTTTTTCAATTCAGTTTGAAAGTTGCTTTTGTACTTTTTTGGGCAAAACCCTTTTCTAATAAACATAACTTTTTTTCCTCAAATTTTTTATTTAAACGGGACAAAGAGGGAATCATGCAAAGCAGTTTATAATTTTATTAAACAATCCAATATAAAAAACTTACCCCACGCCTATTTTGAATTCTTAATAAGATTGGTGGTTTTTACTAACCTTACATGGGCATGTTTTCTCCTAATCTAAATTTGTATTAAAAAATCTCACTGCAGATACCCACTTAATTTTCAGACGCAACTGTTTAATCTGCTAGACTAAACCATTGTAAATGAATGCATACTACGATTGAATTAAAGGAAGGGTTCATTTTTTCTGCAGTTACTGCAGATAATTGTAAACCAAATACGACGTCGTTTTGGAGCAAAAATCATAGTGTTTTTGTAATTTTAATTTATTTCAGGGTTATTATAGTCTTTATAATTATATTTTTTAATCATTCAATACCAAAATGACGTCGTTTTAGAAATAAATGCAGATAATTTATCTGTATTAACTGCTGAAATATTTTTCGGTTAGGGAAATTTAATTGATTTTATAAAGATATTTTTCACATGTTTGGGAAATGTCAAACTAAAAGAAAGAAAAAAGTCTTAACTCCAAGGCATCATCAGAATTTTGCTTATTGTTTTAGCTTTAGTCATTGGATGAAAGAACAAACTACTATTGATTATAACTACATGTTTTAAACCTCTTCTTCATAATAACTTCATTGAAATTCCCTTGTTCCGCTTCCTGTTCTCTGAAAGCATGTTGGGATAAAACTTTGAAGAAATATAACTAATTGCAATCATGGTTGTGGCAAAGGAAGATATACAAAATATGTATACATCGAAGATTAATTCTAGTAACACATACGCATCCAGCTGTTAACATAAAATCGGGAGATCAATCATATAATACACAAAAATGAAGTTTATACGGCGCAAGAAAAAATTAAATTGTATTGTATAGATTCTCTACAATACATATGAACATTTCTTTATAATGTTATTTTTTTGTGCCATATAAATATAATACACAAGATTCTACAGTGTCGAATATGAGTCAGCAAACTATTTGTGGAACTCACATTCATTGATAATATCACAGAAAGACAAGTCAAGTATCTCTTACAGACTTAAAAAGTATAATACTTGGAAAGGAGACAGGGGAAGGTTATATTTGCCTTTATTTTAGGCTTACCACTTTTTTAGTTATCATTAGATCAATTTGAAATTAACAATTGAAAACGAGAAAAAATAAATTGACATTGATTTTAAATAAATCTAATTATAAGTTATAACAAAACAGATAATAAAAGTGGTAAGTATAACGATCCTCGAGAAGAAAAAAAGAAAACACTAAGGATGGAAACGTGGTCCAAATCTACTTCAAATAGTGAGGGAACGATGAAACGGGTTGAAAGGGAAAAAGAATATAAAAAAGAAAACGTAGGTCTGCTTGTTTTGTGTATTGATCTGTTATGGAGACGTGCATCATATGACATTTCTGACAAACTCCATAGCCTGATGATTAAAAGTCTCAAAATCACAAAGCAAAACTATATTTCAGTCAAGTTCAACCCATAAAGTAAAGCCCTTGTATGTGCTTTGTATTTGTATGTTCTTCAAAACAGGCAAACGGACTAGCTCTAACGAAATTTTAGAGGCTCTTCACGAATCTCACGTACAGAAATTTATGCTTCCACATTATGTCACCTTCTACACTGGAGATACTTCAATACAATATCTGAGAGCATTGGTAGCTTAACCTTCCTAAATAGAAATTCCTGTAGGAAAACATGTTAAGCACATGAATAAATATAAGCTTTGTATTGTCAAATTTTCTGATTTAAATAAAAGAACGTAAGAAGTTCCCAGTAAATTAATTGGAAATGACAGGAAGTTACAACGCAAACACAGGCAACTCCAATTTGAATTCCTATTGAGCCTAAATGGTTAGGTTCCACCTGTTTCAATAAAATCTAAAACTTGTAGTCCTTTATAGACTGCGATCTGAAGCACATGTTCAGGCAAGCAATTCAACTACAATTCAAGCTATAATGCTGACATGGCTACATATCACTTCACAGAACCAGAAGCTTTTGAAACATTGTCTGATTACGTTTGTTCACATCACAAAATAGATTTAATTGCCTGTGTCAATTACAAGAAGATTCTAATGGACCCAACTAAAATCTGTAAAATAAATAAAAATCAAAGACTGCAGAATTTTAATTGTTTTCTTATGGTTTTGAGTCCTAACCATTGAATTCTAGACAAAGAATTAATTTAGCTATGCCAGGAACAAAATCTTGAAAAAACAGGAAGTTTTTCATTTTCAAATGATAATAAAAGAGAAAACACGCGTTACCTCTATTTGATTGTCTATTGGCAACAGCGTAAGCCTCAATGCGGCCACCAGAGCTTTTTCTCATCAAATCTAAAACTGCATTTCCAAAGCCAAAACCAAGAGAACCAGAATCCTCTAGTTCTGAAGGTAATGATGATTTCCAAGTAAGGTCCCCATAAAATGAATTAACTTCATTGATGTCATTGTATGCCCCATCATAACTTCCCTTTGAGCGAGCATATGATGAAGTATTTGGTTCATCACTTTTTCCATAACCTACTGCTTTTGATTCAAAATCCACATCTCCAGAACCATAAATAAGACGGCCCTTACCATAGCCATAGCCGATACTTCCAGCTCGACCTGTACTAGGGGAGGAACTCGTAAGTGCTCCAATACTACCAAAAGCATCAGAGTTTGTAGGGTTAGTAGCATAATTAAGATTCCCATTCCCCCACAAATTTTGATTTGTTGAACTTACGGTTGAATTGTTGCCTACACTTGAACCAGCATACCCCATGGCATAATTGTACCTGCTTGAACTTCCATTATATGAAGGGTTTAATGCCCCTCCTAATACAAGTGTAGAATTAAAATTTTCACTTCCAGTTTGGCTAAATGCTGGCTCAAAGTTGATTCCTGTCCCATAACTAGGACTCAAAGGAGGATATCCACTACGACCAACAGTATCAGGACTCAACAAGCCTTCTATTCTATGTCCATGCCCTCCAGCCAGGCTAGGATTATATCCCTGAATGCAACCATTAGGAAAGCTACTGAATCTACTTGTACTATAATTATATCCAGCTAACTGGCCTCTACTTGGACCTGGAGATAATTCCTTTGGAACAGCCCGCTTAACTTCAACCATTTTAGCATTCAGTTCATGAAACTTTTTGTGCAGCACTTTCTCCACTGCTTCCTCAGAATCATAGGTAATGAATCCAAAACCTCTAGGTCTTAGGGTGTTATGGTCATACATCACAACAACATCTGTAATTGTTCCAAATTGATCAAAGTACTTCTTAAAGTCACTCTCAGTAACTGTGGATGCTAGACCTCCAACAAATATCTTCTTTGTGCGGATAGGAGTAGGACCAGGCGACCCATGAATGCTGCTGTTGCTTCTGCTCAGAACATTCTGATCATCTCTAGGGATAGCTTTTTTTGCTTCAACCTGCTTATGGAAATAATTGATATTAGATTCTACTAGAAAGAAAGATCACTAGCAAGGATTTGGGGTAAAAATAATGTGTTAGGAGGACGCATTTTATGTACTTGAGAGATTCAATTAACATTATCTTCCCTTTGTTTCTTATTTCTAAGCAAGTGCTACTTTGACTGATCAGAATTTCTTACTAGACTTGGTTCTAGTCACTCTTTGATATTGTGCTCTTAAAAGAGTGACTTGGCATATACTGCCATAACATCTTGAAGCACCACTTGTTTACTCGTAACATGGTTGCGTAGGCCCTGCTATCATGGGAACAAACCCTTTTTAAATCCTTCTATGACTCGGGACATTTTAATATTTCATCAACATGAACATAATATTGAAACTCATTCGAAGATTCGATGTTCAGAAGTCAAATTGTATCATGTAATGGAACAAAGAAAACTCGGACTTTGGGCAATGATCAGATTTCTATTTCCCCCGATCAATACAGCAGTAAATTTAGACTCTCATTTCATAAAAGTTGCATCATAATGCAGCATAGATTGTCAAAAACAAACCTGAATCTTCTAGCAAAATAATAAATTTGTTAGCTTGAATTTTTTCTTTTGCAGAGGAAAGGGGATCTTGGTTCATCTTGTGACCATAGAAAGTGATACAACAGTGAGGATCAAAGCGTGTATAGCTAAAAAGAAGCATTGATATACAAACAGAGATTGGCAAACTTACAATTCTACCATCTATGACATGTTTTTCCATAACAACTCGTTCAGCAACAGCAGGATGAGCAAAAGCAATAAATCCGAAACCACGAGCACGCCCTGTGGTCCGATCCTTCATTATCACAGCTTCAACAATGTCTCCATAATTCTGGAAGTACTGTCTGAGAGTGTCTTCATTTGTGTCTCGGGAAATCCCGCCAATGAAAAGTTTGCAAGAGCCCATTTCCACTCTGCAATGTATCCCCACTCCATCAATTATACTTCTAAGTTCTAACATGAATTTATGCCCAAAAATTTAATATTAAAAGGGCTTAATTCTTCTTCAACCTCCACCACAAAGGTGGAAAAAAAGAGTAATAACAAATTTGATCTAACCAGTAATTCAGATAATAATTCATACAAAAGCATATTCGTTTCCAACATCAGATACAATATAAAACTCAATGAAACAACAAGCACCACAACAGAACATTATAATGCAGATTAAACAACGGAGAAAGAGAAAGGCAGAAAACTAAATATAATCTTTTTATTTTTTTTTTACATAAAACTGGGAAGTTCAAAACGTCAAATAAGAAAGGATTCTGATAGGATTGAATCCAGGAACGTCTGAGCTTTGATCAATCCATAGATGATTAACCAAGAATACAAAATTGCAAAAGAATCAAACTTTAACATGGAACGAGTTGAACAACAAAGACGGGAAGTCATTTAAGAAGAAAAGCAAAGCAAAGCAGTGTGGGAGAAAAAGCTTACCAAATGAAGACAACCCAAATGAGAAATTGACAGATTCTAAGAGAACCGAGTTAAACCATATTCCATTGTTTCTTTTGTTTTATAATTATGGATGTTTCAAGCAAATAATGTATAACATAGATGCATGAGTAAAAAATTTTGAATCTAGCTGTATGTGTATATATAAAGAGAGAGGCTTTTCTATATTCTCCTCTCGTGTAAGAAAATTGCAACAATCAAGACGAGATAATCCATTCGCGATGTTTAAGATTCATTTCTAAAAATTATTTCTCTTCTTTTTATTAAAAATTGATTGATACTCTCTAATTTGATTAAAACAATGTATTTTTAAATTTTTTATTAAGATGACATCTTTTGCAAATAATTTTTTTTTTTGGTAACATTGCAAATAATCATTTAAATATATAAGTTTTTTGTCACAAATTATGCCGCGTGATGTTTATATATCTGGTAAGTATCAAATACAGGATTGTACTATCATAATTCAAATAAAATGGCATCACTAATAATTTAATGATAATTTATAATTTTACATCAATAAGTTAAAAAAAAAAATGCTTATAGTCTTGCATACTAGTTTTGGGATATTATTACTTTGATAACCATTGACCCATTAAAAATCAAAATTTTGTAAATAAAAAAGAAAACAATATACATTATATTGTTGAGCTTCTATAAGAGAACTTTGAAATCATCACCCCAAAAGTTAGCTTAAAGAGTAAGAGTGCACAAGGTTTTATAAACCTCATACTAGTTGCCTATGCAACTAATATGGGATCCCCGACATTGTCAGTATTTAGTGCCCAAAGGCACCTTAATCTAGCTTTGGGGTGACTTCATCCACCTATCAGTATTTAGTGTCCAAAGACACCTTAATCTAGCTTATAGGTAGTCATTTATGTGGCCTCAACTCTCAATAAAAACACTAATATAAGAGAACCTTAAAATCATCACCACAAAAGTTAGCTCAAAAAACGAGAGTGTTCAAAATTTTGTAAGCCCCACACTAGTTGCCTATTCAACCAATGTGGAACAGCTGCTCATCAATTTTGAAGTACCAAGCTATGATCCGAATAATATATCTTCACGAAAATGATCGATTTATGAAACAGGCTTAATGGTAATTTACTTAGCAATTATAACAAATTCTAGTGAAAAGAAAAATTTCATTATGAAAACTCTTAAAACTAAATACACGAGCCAGGTTCATATTTATACATACAAGTTAACTTGAACTAACTTAACAATCAGCTAACAAAATTCTAACAAACTAAACTTAAGCTAACTGACTCAGATGACTTCTCTCATGATTAGTTGCACTTCTTGGAGCGTGAGTATCAAACACATGTGTCAAGTGAGTAACTGTATCAGCTTGCTTGTGTGGCAATATGGCACGTGAGAAAGAAGACTGTGATACCCCCCGCAAGCTGGACGGTGGATATTGAGTAACCCCAGCTTGGACAAAATGATGGAGAAAGAAGCTGAGGGCAGTGGCTTGGTGAACACATCATATAGCTGATCAGAACTTGAAATAGGCAGCAAGTGAATGAGACCGGATTTCAGTTTTTCACGAGTGATATGACAATCAATATCAATATGCTTGGAACGCTCATGAAACGTAGGGTTCTTAGCCAAATACACAGCTGATCGATTATCACAGAAAACAGCAGCAGGGCGAGACCAAGGAAGGTGAAGATCAGCAAAGAGGTATTGCAGCCATTGGACCTCACAAGTTAAGCTGGCCAGAGCTCTGTATTTTGCCTCTGAAGAAGAACGGGAGATAGTGCTCTGTTTCTTAGACTTCCATGATACAAGAGAAGTGCCAAGCATGATGCAAAAACCAGTGATAGACTTGCGGGTGTCAGGGAAGCATGCCCAATCAAAGTTCGCAAAAGCTGAGACAGTGAGGTCAGACGAGGAGGAGAAAAAGAGACCAGTAGAAGGAGCTCTCTTAATGTAGTGAAGCACCCGTTTAGCAGCAGCCAAGTGAGAATCCAAGGGATTGGAGACAAATTGGCTAAGTTGCTGTACAGCAAAGCAAAGATTAGGTCGTGTAGTAGTTAGATACAAGAGACGACCAATCAATCTACGATAAGGAGAAGCATTAGTGAGTGGGATACCAGCATCACGGCTGAGTCTTGCAGTGGATTCCATAGGAGTGGAAACAGCCTTGGCAGCCAACATGCCTTCATCGGACAAGATATCTAACGCATACTTGCGTTGATTAAGGTGAATGTCAGTGGTGGATCGTGCAATCTCAAGACCAAGGAAGAAACGAAGGCTTCCAAGATCCTTGATTTTAAAAGCATCATCCAAGAAAGCTTTGACACGCTTAATCTCAGCCATACTAGTGTCAGAAAGAACGATATCATCAACGTATATTAACAAAACCGTGAAGGAAGCAGAAGTGGTAAGCGTGAACATGGAGTGATCAGAAGCAGCCTGTTTATAACCAATGGAACACAAAGCGGAAGTCAATTTGAAGTGTCATTGACGGCTAGCTTGCTTTAAACCATAGATGGACTTTTGTAGTTTACAAACATGACCAGGATGCACACATTGCTGACCAGGATGCCATATAGACCTCTTCGTGGAGTTCTCCGTGCAAAAATGTGTTATTGACGTCAAGCTGTTCCAAATGCCAGCCTTTAGCAGCAGCAACTGCTAATAGAGTTCGAACTGAAGTCAACTTGGCCACGGGAGAGAAGGTATCCAAATAATCAACACCTTCAATCTGAGTAAATCCCTTAGCAATGAGGCGAGCCTTGTAGCGTTCGATCGAGCCATTAGACTTGTACTTAATACGGTAAACCCATTTACAATCGATGGGTCTCTTACCATATGGAAGAGGAACAATGCTTGATATCTTGAGCCAAAGCTGATAGTTCTGTGTTCATTGCTTGCACCCAATCAGGAGACTTGATAGCTTGGGTATAAGTACGAGGCTCAATGTGTATGGAAGAGTTAAGGCAAAAAGTACGATAGGAAGGACAACAAGAAGCATAAGACAACACATCAGATAAAGGATGAAAGGGATTAGATGAGATACCTGAGCCCGAAGTAGTACTCTGAGCTGTGGAAAGACTATAGTGAAAATCAGTCAAATAACGTGGTGGTGCACGCTGGCGTGAAGACCTTCGTAAAGCTGGTACATAGGCTGAGCTGTCATGAGTAGCATTGACAGGATCTGCAGGAGTTGGTAACTGTAGAGCTGGCACACAGTCTGAGCTGTGATGTGTAGCAGTGACACAATCGAGAGGAGTTGGTGAAGGGGTAGGAAATTGGGATTGATTTGGACACTGAGAAGAAAAGTTGGCTGGCTCAGTGGAAAGGGAAGAAGGACAATCATATAGGGGGTAGGTGGTATAGAGTTGGGAGGTATAGTGTTTATAGGCTGAGAAACAGTATGAAAAGGGAATTGGGACTCATAAAAAATGATGTTTCTGGATAAAAAGATGGCATTGGATGTCAAGTCATATAGGAGGTAACCCTTTACTCCATGTTTGTAACCAAGGAATACAGCCTTGCGAGCTCGAGGTGAAAACTTTGTGCGACCAGCTTGTAAGGTAGATGCAAAACACAAGCATCCAAAAACCTTAAGGTGAAGAAGAGTTGGAGGTTCACCATACAACATTTCGAATGGTGTCTTGTTATGAAGAGTGGGAGAGCAAATTCTATTGATGATGTGGACAACATGTGTTACTGCATAGGTCCAGAGATTATTTGGTAATTTGGCTTGGAATGACAAAGCTCTTGCTGAATTAAGAATGTGCTCGTGCTTCTATTCAACTACAACATTTTGTTGTGGGCATTCAACACAACTCATCTGATGGACAATGCCCCGTTTAAGAAAGAAATCGTGCATTTGGAACTCTTTTCCATTGTCACTTCGTAGCACTTTAAGGGTAGTGTGGAACTGGTTTTCTATATAAGCAATGAAATGGTCTAAGTGCATTCTTGTTTCAGCTTTAGTTTTCATCAAGATTACCCATGTGTGTCGTGAGTAATCATCTACCAAACATAGAAAGTACTTATGGCCATGAACAAATGCAATTGAATATGGACCCCAGATGTCAGCGTGAAGCAATTCAAAAATTCTGTTACTTTTGCTATCACTGATACAATATGGTAATTTTCGTTGCTTAGTTATATGACAAGAGTCACATGGGCTTACAACAGTAAAAAGGATAAATGGAAAGTGCAAAGACATGGTTTTTAAACTATCTTCTGACAGATGGCCCAATCGATGATGTCATAGGGTTCCTTCCTCTTTATTGGAGATGTTGCATCTGGCATTGCTGACACATTTGAAGTCTTTAGTGCTCTTATTGACCACGTTATTGACCATCACATATAGACCATTCCGTAGCTCAGTTGTACCAATCGTTGCTTGGGTATTCATCTGTTTAATGACACATAAATTATTAACAAATGTTATGCAACAATGCAGGGATTGACAAATCTGTGAAACTGAAATAAGGTTGACATGGAATGCAGGTGCATATAGGACATTGTGAAGTGTTAGGCTAGGGGTAACAATCACAGTTCCGGATTGGGATGCAGTCACACATGAACCATTAGGCAAAGTTATTGAAACAGGATCAACATTATGCAAGGAAATCAAATGAGACTTAAGAAATGTCACATGGTCAGTTGCACCTGTATCAACTACCCATTGTGCACCTGACATGCCTGCACGCGAAGGTATAGCAACATTGGAAACTTGAGCCATATTGGTTGTGTGAACTACATCAGCAGATTGGGACAATGAATTGTTGTGCAGAAGGCCCAATATTTGCTTGTACTCTTCATGAGTAAGGATGACAGAGGATTGGGAGGAAACATTTTCAGCATCTGAGTGATTCATATCCTGCTGATCTGCTATATTCACTGAATACTGATTACTTGGCCTTGTACGAAATCCTGGTGGAAAACCATGGATCTGAAAGCAAGTGTCAATGGTGTGGTTATTTCTACCACAGTGAGTACATAAACGACTGGAATTCTGATTTCTTCCTCCATAACCTTGTCCTCGTCCACGACCTCTGAAAGGTCTGCTTCCATTATTAAAACCTTCACGATTCATCGTTATTGGATTGTTTTCACGACTGGGATTGTTTTCACGAGCAATGTTGAAAGCTTGAACACTTAATGAACCATTCAAATTATTATCAGAATGAAATTGCCTCTCCTGTTGTACCACCATGGAGAAGGTTCTGTTCATATTAGGTAACAGATCTAACAACATTATCTGAGACCGGACCTGAGCAAATTGCTCGTTCAATCCCTTCAGAAAACGGATCACGTGATCTCGTTCACGGTACGTTCGCATCTTGCGAATAGCTCCACAGTTGCAAGGAATAGAACAAGTGCATACAGGTAGGGGTTTGAGGTTATCCAACTCATCCCACATAGTTTTCAACTGAGTGAAAAATTCAGTTACTGAATACGAACCTTGATGGAGCTTATAAATCTCCTCTTGTAAGTCTAACACTCGAAAAATATCTGATTGAGAGAAATGCTCTTTCATATCTGACCATGCATCACGTGCATTTTCAATCCATATTATTGACTCCGAAATCGAACAATGAATCCACGCCATCACCATTATGTTACAGCGTTGCCACACCGCATACTTTTGATCACTCTTTGCTGGTTCTTCAATACTTCCGTCCAGAAATCCAAGCTTGTTCTTGGAAATCAAAGCTATTGTCATCCCTCTCGCCCACGTATGATAGTCTGTGCCTGTTAACAGAGGAGTAACAAGCACCAATGATGGACTCTCATTAGCATGTAAGAAGAAAGGATCTGAAGCATTTGTATGTTGATCAACTCGAGCAGGAACTTGAACTTGAGCTTGAACTTGAGGTTCATCCTCCATTGTTGAGAAATCTCAGTTTGCAGAAAGGAAATTTTAGAGACGAAATACCAGAGCTCTGATACCATAACAAATTCTAGTGAAAAGAAAAATTTCATTATGAAAACTCTTAAAACTAAATACACGAGTCAGGTTCATATTTATACATACAAGTTAACTTAAACTAACTTAACAATCAGCTAACAAAATTCTAACAAACTAAACTTAAGCTAACTGACTCAGATGACTTCTCTCATGATTTGTTGCACTTCTTGGAGCGTGAGTATCAAACACATGTGTCAAGTGAGTAACTGTATCAGCTTGCTTGTGTGACAATATGGCACGTGAGAAAGAAGATTGTGATAATTAATGCTTTGTCAAAAATTTATAATCTTGTTATTTTATTTTATTTTTTAATAGCTCGATGCTAATTTCAGGCCACATGATCTAAGCTTCTAGTAATCTCGCACAGAGCCTTCTTTTATTTGGTGGCAATTGCAATTCGCAGGTTGCTACCTAGTATAATATAATTAAGGTAAAATAAAATAAAATAAATTCAAAGGCCATATAACTAATCTATCTTATATTATAATTCATAGTCATTTTGTGGAAAGTTTTGTCACTTATAATTCATACAATAATTTGGATTTTTAAAAGAAATTAAACTTTTCATCATAAGCAAGTTTTTTAAAAAATTTAAATTATATGCATCATAGGTCAAGTGAGATTTGATCCATGGGGCAACTTAATTAATTTAAATGTTAAGTTAAATTAATTTGAATTCTAATTTTGAATTTGAAATTTAAATTTAAATATACTCATGAAATTAGATTTGATGACAATAGAGAAAATTAAAGAAATTAATTAATTAGATTGATTAGCTCAAATTAAAGAAATCAATTAATTAGATTTATTCGCTAAAATTAGGAAAATCAATCAAATGGATTGATAAGATTAAAAGAAAGAAAATTACCTAATATGATTGGGAAGTGATGGGGCGCTAATCAAGAGGGTTGATTAGCACAATATTTAATTTTCCTTTTTCCTTATTTGAATGACACATTTTTCTTATTTTGCTCCAACCAAAATCCTAGTCGAAAATTACTCACTACTTTGGCGGCCTCTCTCTCTTGAACAAACCCTAGCCACCACTTTTTGTTGGCCCTTCCTTTGAGTTTTAGCAACCTCTCTTGAAGGATTTTGGATGTTGAAAAATCTTACTTCCATCATCTTGTGTTTTATCCATTTACTCTTACTCTTCAAAATATCTCCTACACAATATCCCTTCCATCTTCCTTTCTGTCATCCTAATTGCAACTTCTCCCAAAATAAAAATGGCATCTTCGACTTCTGGCTCAAAACAAGTAAGATTTGAAAGAAAATTTCAGCTGTGTAGGAAATGACAATTGAGAAATTCACACAATTCAGGTAATTCTGATCTTTTGCAAACAACTTTGCATCATTTGTTCTTTTCATCAACAAAACTATTTCATTTAAATTTTATACTCCACAATGAAAAATTAATATTCGTCTGTACTCATAAAACATTGTTTCTCTTTAAACAATTGTTTCACATTCGTCTAATGTCCAATATCAATTTAAACTATAATAATAAATTAAAAAGATTTACTATTTCTATGCTTGTTTCTATCAAGTAAGTCTTTGAAAGAATTATATATTAAAATATTATTTTTGTTTCAAAATTTTATAATTTGTAACCAATTTTTAGTAACATAGAATGTTTTTAAACATATCATATCTGTTATTAAGTAATTTAATTTCAAATATAATTTGATTTCATATACAAAAGTTTTAAAACAAAGTATTCTTTTTGAATTTAGGGTGGTGTATTAAATTAGGGTTTTAAAAGACTTTTTTGAGCTTAAAAATCTTATAGTTTTTAAAAGATTATTTATAATTGGAGAGACTTTTGAAAATACTTTTTTTACAATCAAGAATTCATAAAATTGGATTTTAGGGAGAGTGACCATTTTGTCACACCTTGCATAAAAATTTACCAGACTGTCACGCCAACAGTAAATTTTGTCAAAATGTCACGAAATATGTTTGCATATAATTCGCTACACAGTGTAGCGAAATATGCCGTGTCAGGCTGCACAGTCAACAAAAATGACACGTGTCAAGCAGGTAGAAATTCGCTACACTGTGTAGCGAATTATATGCAAATATGTTTCGCTACACAGTGTAGCAAAATATGTCGCGTGACATTTTGGCAAAATTTACTGTAAGCGTGGCAGTACGATAAATTTTTTTGCCAGGCGTGACAAAATGGTCACTGTTCCTGGATTTTAAAGGATTTTAATAGAATTTATAAGATTTTAAAAAACTATATGAATTTTTAACAAACATTCAAAATTACAAGAGTCAATTAAAAAAGGAAAAAATTATACTTACAACCTATATTTGTTCACAACATTTTAATTTCCGTCAATCAACAGTTATCATTCATTACAAATTAAATATTAATTAATATGTTTGATTTGAAAAAATAATCGTTGATTGTTAGAAATAAACGATTAAGATCAACAAAAATAGGATGTAAATATAATTTTTCCCATAAACCGAAGTATAATCTAATATAATTTTCTCAATAAATAAAACATAATATAATTTTTAACAAACATTCAAATTTACTAAACATTCACATATCCAAAGGGTTGAAAATTCATGATAAAATTTCGATTGAAATTTTTTTCAACTAATCTTGAAAACTTTAGGATTTTTCTTTTACGTGATAAGAGTTTTCTAACCATATCTTGAAATTTTCGTTTTAAGAATATGGAGTAAATACAGATAACTTATCTGTAGTTATTGCAAAAATACTTTTCTGATTAAAAAAATAACTAAACTAATATTACTTTATTATTCAAAATTATTTTAAATAAAAAAATAAAATTATATGTCTATCTCTCTCGTAAAATAACGTAGGTATACATCATTTAAAATGACAATCACTTTTTTCTATTTTAAAATATTAATTGCATATGTCTTTTTAAAATCAGAAGTATACTTCGGTTTTTTTGCTTGAGTTCTTGGCGAAGTTATGTCTTCAGGCCAGTATTTTAGCAGCGGCTGCACCATACCAGCCAGGTAAGTAGCAAGATTTATACATGAATCTAAGTTAAGTAAGGCCCAGAGACATAACTAGAGCACCGTTTCTTGAAGGTTACATATCCAATTTTCAATAACTTATAACCAGTTTAGTGTTTAAACATGGTTGTTACCTCTCAATTCAATCTCTTTTTACGAGGAAACATTCATATGTAGTTTTATTCTAAGATGTCTTCAACGCACCTTACTTTTTTGTATGCAGGAAAGCACCAGCCTTCAAGAGCCGTTAATTATGTTACAAATTAGATCAATGGCTAGAAGTGATGGTTTTTTACTAGGTTAAGACAATTGATGTAGTAATCCACAACCTAAGGCCGCAACATATACATTGTACTGCTGCTAAAAACTTCCTCGAAAATATTACTTTATTCAATGCGATCAAGGGCAACTAAAATGGATGAAAATTGACAATTAAATTGCATTAGCCTTTGAACCAATAGCACTACATTATATATTCAAAAATGGGCAACACACATAAGATCAATATAAACTACATGTGTAAGATGCAACAAAAGTGCAAAATGTCCCATCATTTACTGAACCTTCAGTCATGAACAAGAAGGAGGTTCACCCAACAACAATGGTAGTGCTGTCCCTGAAGTTTACGAGGGACATGCTCACAAAGGATAAACAGGCCCCTGCTTTTTTCATCAGGATTTATTCGCGAAAATCAGGCTTTTATTAATCAACCAAACGGAAGATAGTCGAAAACCCACAGACGCAGCCAAACAAATGTTAAAAAACAAAGGAAAATCGAAGAAAATTAAGACAAAAACTTATTTGTTATACAAACGAAAACGAAACTTGCTTTTCGAATTGTAAAAGTAATTAGACAGTTAATAAAGAAAAGTAAGATGACTGCAATTTAAATTCCAATTAGCCTGAAGGGTTAGATCACAACAGCAGAAAATCCTTGAGGATGTAGGAAGCAAAAAACCAAGAGATTCATCCCAAATCGTTAAGCTCAATCACTAGATCTCCAACCCAATTCACATCATCCAAACCTCATATGATTAAGCAACGGGCAATAGAGAGAATCATAAACACACGAAAGAATAAAAGCACTAAGAAAAGCCTCAGAATTGCAGAACATTTAGTCAGCAAGGCAAAGAAGCCATTCAGTCCCGAAAGATGGTATTTGGTGACTGATATCATCATTGGCAACAATAGCAAGACAAGGATGAAAAATTTGTGCCCTAAAATCAAAAGCTTTACAAACAGGTATAATCAAAATATATGATTAGAAAGGACATAATAGAGAAAAACAGGATTTAAAAACCAATGAATGTGAAAATGTTAGTCTCATGGCCAATCCCAAGAAGTAATGGCAGCAACGCCGCTCCACAAGGCAATGGAATATGAGACAAGCATCGACGGAAGAACTCCCTCCGAGAAGGGAGAACCGTCAACGTCAATGAACATTTTTATGCGACGTTAACTTGGGATTATGCAAACACATGATTATAAGTTTGCCCCCAATCAAGTTAGGAACTTGGATAAATTCCCCGTCACAATTACGATTAAAGACAAAAATAAAAAGTAAAAAGAGAGGGAGAGACTATAAACAAGCACAAAAAAGAGACGATGAAATCAGTATTCAAAGGTAAACAAAAACCATAAGAGGAATCTCATCAAGGCGTTCCTAGATTATCACCTGAAACCCTAGACACCGACAACCGAATCAGAGGAGAGAACAAAGATGATAGAACAATCACACCACAGAGCGGTCTTATAGTAGTTGGGTCATTCGGAAACTAGGGTTTCATGCCGCATATGGGCTTTTAGTCTTTAACTGGCATCGGCCCAGAGACACTAACTTAAAAAGTGGACTCAATTGGTATTGTAAAAACAGGGATCTATGATCTATCAAACCTTGGCAACTCTTTCGTTCGGGATTTTACCATTCAACATTTTTTATTTTTTTTATTTAGAAAAACTAGGATTTTAATTATTATTTTTGTTCGATAACATAAGGAATCAAACAGCAACTAAAAACTCTTACCTATTGGGTGATTGGATTATTGATTCAACTATATGAACTGATAAGTATATGCAAATTTATAATTTAAATTAAAAAAATGATAAATATACTCAAATACTTGTAAAAGAATAATATCAATTCTAAATATTTTAATATAAAAAATAATAAATTACACATCATTGTCCAACAAAAGATCAATCAAACATATAATGTTTGTGATACTGGTGCTTCACGTTCAGTAGAGGATATTTCTAACTATAGATCAAATCAAAATTCTCTGCATATTAGGTAACCAATATAATATTAATGTTATAGGTATATAAGCTATATAAGTCAATAAGTAACATATTACTTAAATATTTCATAAGAAAACAAATCATGTGCGTGTGAGAGTAAAAAAAGAAAGGCACAATAGAGGGCAACTAAGGCCGTGTTTGGATAAACTTTTAAAAAAGTTCTTATGTATGGCTTCTTTTTTTAGAATGAATTTTTTTAAAAGTTAAAATTATTTTACGTTTGGATGAAATACATAAAAAGTACTTTTAAATAAAAAGGGATAAGTTACACTTATCACCTCTTACAACCAATTTTATTATCGTTTGATCAAAATCAAATCAATGTCTCTTACTTTATGTCATTTTGTAATCGTTGATTTGATTTTAATCCAACGATAACAATATCGGTTATAAGAGGTGGTAAGTATAACCTCTACTAAATAAAAAAGTTATTCGGGTGTTAAAATTAATAAACACTATTTATACATATATAATTACTAGATATGTGATGGTAAATGGGTTGAGTTGTTGGAGTGAAATTGGGGTAAAATTAAATTAAAAAAATATATTAAACTTTTAACTTTTGCTTTTTTTTAGAAGTAATGAATAACTTTTTTAAAAAGCATTATTTTAAAATTTTTATTTCTGCTTTTTTTTAAGGTTTTAATGTTTCTAAAGTGATTTGTTCCCAAAACTACGTCGTTTTGGATTGAAAAATTAAAAATTTATAATGAAAAAGACTATTGTAACCCTGAAATAAATTATAATTATAAAAATACCTTGATTTCTGTTTCAAAACGACGTCGTTTTGGACTCACATATCTACATTGACCGAAGAAAAAATGAACCTTTTTTAAAATATTATTATCCAAACACAAAAAATTCTATAAAAGAACTTTTTTTTGAAAAAAAAAAACTTCTCAAAGAAAAAAAGCTCATCTTTCAACAAAGAACAAAGAAGTACACTCAAAAAGAAGTACACTCAAAGGGAGGGTTCTCCCAAACTTTCAAATTCCAATTATGTTCAAAGGTTTATGCGGTTGATTTAGATCCTTTTATATGAAAAAATAATCATATTATTTGATTATAATTATTTATTTAAAATTTATATATATTTTTCTCTTTTATTTCATAATCAATAAATCATTAATAAATAATTGTGATCAGATAACATAATTATATAACTATTTTTTTTACATACGATCCAAATCCCCCGGACATAATTGTTCTCCCTATATATTTCTGTAATAATCGAGACGGGCGGATCACAAAGCAAGTTCTCCTTTTTAAAATTTTAATATTATTGCATATTTTCGAAATTACGGATTATACTTGAACAACTCATGTCAGTTGATCAAACTTTTGAAACATCTCGTGTCATTATATGAGAAGGAAAAAGCTTTTCATATTCTTATTAACTTGGTGCAGAAATAAAATGCTGTTTCTGTGTAATTTTTTAGTGAAAACATATTTTTCTTTTTAAAAATATGTTTGTTTCAAGATAACTAATTGAGTTTTTCAAATATATATAATTTTAATACTTTTTTAATAAATTAAAAAAACAAATTTTGAAGAAAATCTGAAATCATAAAAATACTCTTTTGAAAGCTTATACAAATGCGTCCTAAAATTTGCAAAGTATATTATATATGCAAAAATCTGTTTTATATTTTTTGTTATGTGATTTTTTATTTTATTTTTTCAAAAAATGCACATGAAATGTGTATACATAAAGCATACCGATAATAATCAATTTTTCTTTCTTTAGGCATATCCTGGGTGGTAAAGAGGAAGGCAGGGAGTGCACCATTCACTTTCAAACTCAGAAGACTAGATAGAGGTTTTAGTGATTATATTCCAGAATGTTTCTAAACAAATGGGAGTAACAGCTAAAATACAGTGATAATGAATTTCTGAAAACGATTTTAATAACAAACTAGCAATTAGTAGCTCCCACTGCACCATTGTAGTACTTCTATGCTGCAGAGAGTTCTTCTACGCTGCAGTCTCTTTGGAAGGAAAACTTACTAATCTTGCAAGGCGCTTGACACGATTCAAACGCAAGGGTTTTGGCGTGCAACCTGTATTAAAAGGTGTCAAGTGTATACAAATTTTCACAAAAAATAAAAATAAAAATAAAAAAACTTTTTCAGACACTTAAATCCAATATACTCACCATCATCACTTAATACATCTCCCTTGGCTAACAAATTATCTGCGATTGGGTAATTTCCATTTCGCGCAAGACGTTTAATCTTATTTAGACGCAACCTTTTTATTAGACCCTCCAATTGAATTGATGATCCTATGGGTTGCAAATTGATTATTGCATAAGCAAAACAAAAAAATATAAAACAATAAGGAATGAACATATATAAATGATAATGTTAACAAAAATAAACTAGAATCATGTAACAGAACAAGGAGTCACCTTCAACAATTTCGGATGTTTCATGTCCATGGTTAAGGCCATGAGAGATGACTATGTTGTCTGAAGAGGTAGAAGAAGGGAAATATTGTAGCTCAGCAAAAGGACTGGTGTCACAATTTCTTAAATCTGGACCTTGAAGCAGAGGAATAAATGGAACATTTGCAACTCTCTGTCTTCGGAGTTGGTAATTTCTGCGGCGCCTAGCAAGATGCCTTTCCCTCTGTTCTTGAGTCATTGATTGTCTCCTCTGCCTGTCACGTAGACGCCGTCTTTCCCTCTCTTGCTCCCTTTCCATTCTGCAAAAAAAAAAATTCATTTATGCTCTCTTCTAAATAAAATATACTCAATCAAATTTTTTTCTTAATAAAATTATTGATCCTCAACATGTTCAGATCTTTCTTGTTAAAAAACACACACCTATAATCTGTCTTCCTAATCACCAATGAGACAAAAAAAAACAAAATTTTGAATCAAATATGAGGATATATGTCTAGGAAGAAATGCGGAGAATCTGGCGGAGTGGATCGCAATCCAGCACATGCCAAACGGCAATTATGAAAATTGAGCTAGAAGTGATTTTCTGTCAGTTTCTCTAAGGTTTTTAGGTTAATATCACTCACAGATTACAACTTTCACATGCCATGGGACAAAATCATTAAAGAGGATCATTCAATAAATTTAAACATTAAAATTTCGTCAAAAGAAAGTAAAGAAAAGACACGGTTAGAGGCTAATAATATAAAATTTCAATAGCTGAAATGGCTAAGTATAAATGGGCAATGAATTGAAGATTGGGGTAGAAGACATTTTACCTGCCACTGCAGAATCGATTACTGAAGAGCGAAAGAGAAGCAACTTACGCGTGTATGTCCGTAAGAGGGTATTAAAAACATGAAATGTAGCATTGTCCAATTAAAATAAGATAAAATAAAATAAAGAAATTAATATATAATTTGGTCCGCAAATTGTGTTTTTTTTTTAGGTGCTGTCAATAAAAATTGATCCCGAAAGTAATAAGTTCATATTAAGTTAATTTTATTGTTAGTGGGTGCTCGTAAAATGTAATAAAAACGCTAATTTGCAATTTATTTATATACAATGGTGAAAATTGAACACATAATCTGATACAAATTATAAAAAATCTCTTATCACTAGATCAATACTAATGGTTTGCTAATTTGCAACATTAAATACACACAATAACAATAACGTTATTTGCCAATTTGATTGCTTACATGAAATATTTAGACCACCGTCTTATTTAATATGTTGGAAAATACAAATTTTCCCATTCATTCTAATAGTGACCACTATTTTTATTCTTGTATTGGAAGGATACAAAAATATATTGAACCTTAAGTGTTGGGGCCAAACACAATAACCAAGAACAAACTGAAGCAAGTTTATAACATAGAAAAACAACCACAGCAATAATAGCAGTAACAACCATTGTTGTAAAAAATTAGTGTAAAAACGTAAAAATTTACGTTTTTACATTTTTACTAGAGTGATGAGTGTTAAAACGCAAGTAAAAATTGTCCTTGGTAAAAACTAATAAAAACGCCATGTAAAAACGTTACGTTTTTACCGTTTTGACCGATTTTACTTAAAACGATTTTTTTTTTTTTTAAAAAGATTTACAAAAAAAGAAATTAAAAAAACCGAATTTTCGTTTTCCCCAAATCATATGCAAGATATCTTGATATCTTTTTGTTTGGATATATGTCTTTTATAATTATGTCTTATAAAATTATATTTCTATTATAAGTTATGCTATGAGAATCGTTTTGTATTTTTGGATCATTGTGTGCATTGAAAGAAGTGAAATTATATCCTGATGAGTGATGATCCAAAATCTGCAGAGTATATGAAGCAGTTAGAGCAGATTGATTATCCATTACTTGTTACTTGTTAGTTATCACTGTTTATAATTTTGAACTTGATTATCAATTTTTTTTTTCTTTTTTAGATAGATAAGTGGCTCAATACACATGTTCATTATGTGATATTTTTTTACATGCATATATATATAGGGGCAGGATATTCTTACACTGGTGTAAGAGTTAGAAAGTAAAAACTTAACGTTTCGTGTCGTTTCTACGTTTTACGTTTCTACCACCCCTTTCCGTTTCTACGTAGAAACTCGAGTATGACAATATTGGTAACAACAACACAATAATGGCACACAAGAATTTTCTACGTGAAAAATGATGTGGAAAGAAAAATCCCGAGACTTTCATCAAAGTCCATCCAAATCTCAAATATCAACAATCAATAATGGGTACATATACAAAATATTTTCTCTCTATATAACAATAAAGAAATCCAACAACATCATCAAATAAATGGAAATCAATAGATAAAATAAGGAGAAAAGTCACCAAAAAAGCTTCAAAAGAGGGGTAAACCAATATGCTCCTCTTTTTTCTCTTCTCCAGTGGTAGCACTACTCCCTTTCTTTCTTTTTGACCAGCAAAAGCAGTGGCAATCTTCTTTCTTTCTTCTTGTGTAGTTGTTGCTGCCCTGTTTTTCCTTTCTTCTTCTTCACTGTTGCTGCACTTCTTCCTTCTTCTTTTTTTGAATGCAGAATTCAAACTTCTCTTGAGTAACAACTTTAGTCAACATGTCCAGAGCATTCTTATCAGTGTGGATCTTCTTAATCTTCAATAACTTATCCTCTAATACATCATGTAGCCGGTGGTATCTCACATCAATATGATTTGTGCGAGAATGATAAGTTGAATTTTTGCTCAAGTCAATAGCACTCTGACGATCATAGTAGATAGCATATTCATCGTGCTTGAATCCCAAGTCTTGGATAAATCTTTTCAACTATAGCATTTCTTTTCCAACTTCTGTAACGACGATGTACTCAGCCTCAATCGTAGAAAATGCAACATATTTATACAGTTTGGACTGCCAAGACAGCTCCCCCTGCAAAAGTAAACAAGTACCAGGAGATAGACTTTCTATAATCAAGGTCACTTACCATATCAGAATTTGTGTACCCTTCCAAGATTGGGTTCACACCTCCAAAACATAAGCACAACTTGGAGCTTCCTCTCAAATATCTTAAGATCCACTTTACAACTTTCTAATGATCTCTACCTAGATTATCAAGAAACCTGCTCACCATACTAAGTGCCTGTTTGGATCTTCTTCTTTTTTAAGCTAGAAGCTACTTATAAGTATAAGCTAGGCCAAACAAGTTTTGAGAAAAACTCTTATAACGAAAAACTCTTTTTTTTATAAAGAAAAAAAAAGCTGAAAACTAAAAGCTCCTAGGAGGAACTTTTTTTTAAGCTCTTATCTATTTTTCTTGAATTGTGTGCTTTTTTTTTAATGAAGAGTGATAAAAAAATATTTTCCCTAAATAAATAGTAATAAATGTTTTGCTCTAGCAAATTATACATTAACTACCATAAATTAATCATGATATGTAAATAAATAATAATAATTATTTTTTATTTGGCTTAATAAATTTCCTTTTTGACGTGTGTATTACACTTTTATGATTGAAAATTTACTGTTTAACAGTTTAAGTGGATGGGCCAATGATTATAAAAAATGAATCGGACAAATAAACTTAATGCGGATTGTTTTTCTCATTTAATATGAGAGAAAAACAATCTCTTACACACATATATGGAAGAGAGAGGAGAGAAAGTAAAGAAGAGAGAGAAAGTTTAAAGTGGATTCTACATCTAATTTTTATCTAGTGCATGAGATAATTATTTCTCAAACTTAATATATATATATATATATATATATATATATATATATATATACACACACCCACACATTAATAATTTTATTCGTTGAAGTTTTTGTTATTCAGAATTCAGCTTTCAATAAATATAAGTTGCGGACACTAATCTCTTATTAAAACTAATGAAGAATATTAATTTGAGTATAAATTATAAAGATTAAAATTTGAATGAGTAAAACTATAATTACTGATACTATAACAATATAATCCAAAATTTAAATGAATACAGATATATGGATTACTATAAAACAAATTTTATATTTTATATTTAAAAAATAAAAAAATACTAAACTCTCATTGTAAAAAATCGAAAAAATCTTGAGTACTGAATAGGTAATAATGGTAGTTATATTAAAACAAAAAATAACAAAGTGAAAATTCCTTTATAATAATATAAATCACATATATGCATAAGATTACAGTTTAAAGACTGGTAAATATGCTCTTTTCTTCATTTAATTTGAACTCCAACATAGAAGGAGCAGAGTTTATATTATCCATAAAAGTTGAAACATCAAAGAAGAGAAAGCAACCCCTTTCATCTCCTTATTTCCTTCTCTTCACCTCAAAAACTCTTAAACATAACAATGATATATTGATCAATCATTCACGAATTTTTTATTTGGGAACTAAGATGTGGGCTTGGTTCTTAATTGTTATTATGTTTGGCCTTATTTCAACTGCTTCATATAGGTCAATTCAACGTCGTTCATTCAATGTATTAAACCCTAACATTCTGTGCTTACATTAGTGTTGTCCGATACACTGCTTGATCACTTTTAAAAAACAACTATCCAATATTTGCACCCCACCTTCCTCTTCCGCTTTCATAATCAGTTAAAAAAATATACGTCCTGGTCCGTCGTATAGAATATAAAATCTGACCTTCTCCCAAGTACTTTGTCACATGGTCGAACTTGCTTGGTCTTTGGATCAATTTTTGCGTGCTCATACTTCAATTATTTTTTGTGGGTCGAATATTATCCATTAATTAGGTACACCATGAGGTCAAACTTAACTTGCCACCATTTTGAATTTTTTTTATAAGAACAAGATTATGTCCAGAAAACAGACAATTTGTAAATTCAGGAATATGTTGCTTCTACACAAATAAATTGAGGAAAAGGTATACTTTTATATGCGTAGAATTATGTATCTATAATTTACTCATAAATTAGGAAACTGATACATGTAGGGTTATAGTGTATCAGACCAGAACCTTGAGCTCTTATGTACTCGTGCATTGGGAAGATTTCGGTTGTGATTACAAGGGGAAAGGAATTAAACGAGGAAACAAAATAAAAGTTACTCATCATATATTATCAGTTAAATAACACTAAAGCCCGGGACAGGGGGCAGGAAAATAAGCGAAGCTATATAACAGAGGTTTCTTTTTTTTTCATTTCAGTACTGACATTTACAGCATGTTTTGAGATTCTGCGGACTGCATTATAACCCACAAGGGTACATATTGGAACAGAGCTAAATCTCAAGTCCTATGGCTATGGAGAACTGCAGATACCGTGTACTAAGCATGGTAAAGGCAAAGAAGGTCAAAAGGGTGGCCAGAGCTCAAAACATTGTCAGTTTCAGTTTCAGTTTCACCTCCAAGCAGAAGAGGTGACCAAAGCTCTCTTCATCCAGCCAAGATATAGAGCACCATCTCTCTGTTCAAGCCTATAATTTTCATCGAATTCAATCAACAGATTTCGGGCAGCATCCATCGCTGAAGAACTCAATGGGCATTGTTGAAATCCAGCCATAGAAAATCTCAATCTCCACTTTCCTAAAAGTTCATGCCTTTCCACCCTCTCAACCCCCTCGCAAGCTATCATGTTGACAATGTCCCGTGCCACACAGTGTTGCTCAGCACTAATCCTCTTCTTATCATCTCTGGGGCGAGCCACATCTATTGATTCGAACATAGCAGTATAATAATCGAGGGTCTCAGCAAACCTGTGAAAGAAAGAAGAAGTGTTGGTGTTGGATTCTTGCTCAACCAGGGTCACAACCTTGGGAGACAAGCTCTTAACCAATCTCAACAATCTGTCTCTATGGTTCCCTGTGCTCACACTCTCATCTGGCATGTGGTGCAAAACATAAGGAAAATTTACAGCAAGAGCTTCCCCGGGTCGAATTACAAGATTTTCTCGTTCAACCTCACAGCTTGACATGGCAGCACTGTGGAACTCAAATGGAACCCCGCAAGATCTGGCAAAATCTGAAAGCCGGTCTCCTACAATCTGAAGTCCTCCACCCCGAGCATGAGATGATTGGGAATCATCAACACCAGTTATGCGAATGAAAGGGGGTCCACCAGGCCTATGTGCAAGAGCCTGGATAAGTAAATGCCACTGTGTGCCCTGCGCAATTTGGAAATCAATTATATGAATCCTGGATTCATTTGCCATTGCTTCTCCAATGACAACATTTGCAGTTACGTATGCAAACTGCCAATATGGGCAAATCTGATACAAAACGTGCATGTAAGTCATTAGTTCTTTGCTTGTTGGTTGTTCACACTTCAAGGTTTTGTAGATCAGACTCCCTGATGATTCCAACCTTGCTCTAAGCCCCTCCAACAAGTAAGCACCTAACCTCTGGTATGGATCTCCAGCAACTGATACCATCTTCCCCAACACATTATCCATCCAGCCTCTTGCTGTCGTAATGTCCTCATCGGACACAGCCTGTGCACATAGCATGAGGACTTCTTTCAAGTCAAACTTTGGAATCATTTCTGCAATCTGATCCCAATTATATTTAGGCTTAGCTAAAGGAGATGCTCTGTGGAGGCCACCCTTGACGCAGCAGTCATAACTGTCAACAATATCTGATTCCTCAGACCCCAACAATGAAATCTCCAGTTCTCTAAATATGTTCTTTAATTCGTCCCCATCATCAACACTAGACAACCCGCTTACTGGTGATCCATAGGTGTTGTCAGATGACTGGTGGTGATCTGAATAGCATGACTGAGAAACTTGTGGAGAAAATGGACTCCTATTTGATGATGTGCTGGCATAGGAAGGGGAATCACAAGCCATGAAACCAGCGGTTACTGGGGATGATTCCAGGGTAAAGTATTGCTCCTTGCAGGTTTCAAAAGAAACAGTAGTGCCCTGGCTGCTGCTGCTATCATGGATATCACGGCATAGATTGTTTTGTAATATTTGGTAAACGCCTTGCATAGGCTGGTGATAGAAGTGGATACCAGCTGAACTTGGGTGTTTCTGAGACATTTGCATCTTGAAAAAACTATTACTCAGCCGAGAAAAAGTAATCAGAACAACTACTAGTCAATCTTTCTGATTGTGAAGGTTCTCCTCATTAGCTGTCACCATTTTGATAAGCTGCTAGATGCAATAATTATCAGCAAAAAATATTGCCAACAACCGTTCTCGAATGTATTGAAGAAACACAACCTGCATAATAAGACATCATTATTAAGGAAGCTTTAACGTTGATTAAACAAAGCAAATAAATAAATTAAATCAGCTTGACAGATCAAGATCTAAATAATGAAGATATGCTGAAGAAAAGTAACTTCAAACTTGGGAAAATGATGATAATCTATAGAGAGAGAGAGAGAGAGAGAGAGAGAAAACTCCAGGCCACTGAGGAGATTCCCCATCAAATGAATCTATGTTAGAAATACATAATTAAAAAGATGTGATCCACCGGTACTAATCCTGAGGCTATACAGCTTCTCCAGGAGTTACGAGATGCAAACTCAATGTGTGTCAGATTCAGGAAAGAGAAAAAGGAAAGGTGGAAGAAAGGGAGGGGATAGAAGGAGCTAAGAGAGGGAAGGACATACATATATGCGCACTTCGATCTTACATGGAAGTAAAAAAAAATTCTGGGGAGAAGGAGGTGTTGTTCTCAGAATATGAATGACCAATTAAGGATCCAAAATCAATTCCCCAAGATCTCATAGATTTACATCAATACTGATTTAAAATATCATCCACAAGTAACCTCTTAAATTTCCCAACTAATAGTTCATCAAGTAATAAGAGATCAGAGAAGGATATATTGATAAGGTAACTAAAACCACAGAAAAAAAGAATGAAAAAGAAAAATATCAATGAATAAAACAAGGGGGGAAAAAAGTGTATTACTCATGTTCCTGAGAAATAACTTTTAATCAGATAGGCTAGCAATAACGCGTATATTAATTTACGAAAACAGTCCCACAACCAACAAAGTATACAGAACGGAAGGGCTCTGTAAAAATAGAAAGCATTTGACTCATCAAGAAAATAACGAAAGAAGAAGAAGAAGAAGAAATGCCACAAAGAAAGACCATTAATTGTTGATACTCGAGAGAGGGAAAAAAACTTGGCTGTCAAACTCTCAAATCGTCAACCTTTCAGGAAAGGGAAAAACATTTAGTTTACCTCAAAACATAACAGAAGTGAGTTTCAGCCGTTAAGAGAAATAAGTCTTGGGTGAGGGGGAAAAACAACACAGATAAATACTGTTCATAAAACCAGATTTTAGAATAAACAGCAATAGAACCCTGTCCAAGTGGTCCTGGAAACTCCACGAAATTGATCCGTGAAGAGGTTGGTTGACAAACGGGAATCCCATGTTGGGGCGGAAAATAAGACCCAAAAATTTAGAATTTTTGAAACAGAGCGATTTTTTCATTTTGCTGAGGATTTTTTTAGTACATAACAAAGAAATCAAACTTGGCGTCCGAGTTCAATAATTCAACACACAAGACGGGTAAAAGAAGAAAAGTGTGTTGGTTACCGAAAAGCAAGGCAAGAAAGAAATAGCATGAAGCATTCCCCGCACGGCAGAAACACAAGTGAAGTAGTTGAAACCTAGGATTATTTATGATTTAGGAAGTGGCCGGTGAAAAAGTACCTTCGTCTGTGAGTTGTTGGTTCAGGTTGAGTTGTGTGGCAGATGAAGCAGAGAGGAGAGAGAAACCTGACTCCAGTCGCCCGGAGCCTTCAACTAAAACTATGGTTTAGTAATAACTAAGCTTTTGATTTTAATACCCACATTACATATATATATATATATACAAAATTAATTGATAGGTGAGGTGGGTAAGGTAAGAACTGCCCTTAAAATGAGTCGAAATTACATTTTGCAGAATCACTTTCACTCGGTTTGGTGTAGGACTGTAGGCCTGTAGGGTACCATTCGAAGCAACTAGGAAGTCAGCTCAGCTACAAACACCGAGTAGTAGTGTACGGTACAAATTGAATATATATAGAATCTTCTGCACCACTTAAACACTTCTTTTATGCCCCATGTGCCTTCTGACAAACGTGCTTACCTTGTCTTTTGCAAATCAATTGTTTTTTTCTTTTTTTAAAAAAATTATTACCATATTATTTTTATGAGTTTATATTTTTTTAATTAATTTAATAACTTTTATTTTAAAATTACTTAATGGGTTTTATTAGTGTCATGTAACATGATGTAAGTGTTATTTTCAACTCTCACATCAGAAGGGAGAAAGAAAATGAAATGATGAAAGAGAAAGAAAAATATGTGGACCCCACTTCTTTAATGTGTGTGTAGGAAAGTGAAGTTATATTATGCTAAATAATAAACATAAAATCTTACTTAATACTATCCATGTGTGGTACTTTATTCTATACTGAATCCGTATAAATTGTCTATGCTAGTTCAAAAACCCGGGCTAGCATTGTACCTATCCTTACTATATTATTTGTATGCGTTTACTCATCCAAATACTGTGAACATAAGAGGAAGTAGAACATGAATGAAGAAAGGTTACTGTTGTATTTAATAACTGCTGTCTCCACGTACGCATGTGATTTTATAATTACAATTTATCGATTTTAATAGATGATGTCAATATTAATAGGTTAAAACGATTTAAAAATAATAATTAGTGACTTATTTAAATAGGAAACATTTGTCAATGAATTAACCAAGACTTTTTCTCAGTAATTTGTTTATTCGAGTATAACAGGTGCACGTGATTGAATTTGTTCATGATCCCAAGCCTAAGGTGCTGACTATTCAAAGGTAAGTTCCAGTTACAAAATTAGGGTTATATTTTTGTTTTCCTGTGTTGACCGAACATCTAACTCAACTACCAATCAAGATATTCTTCGTGCTGCATTTTATAATATAATTGAGAAGAGTGATTCATGAATAAGTTACCGGAAGAAAAGTTATCTATTTCTTTGTATTAAATTAGAGTATATTTATTTGAAAAGTATTTGAAATTTCAAATTTATTTTGTAAATAAAAACAAAAATTATTTTTAAATTCTACTTAAAATAATGGTACATATTTTATTGTAATTTTAAATTTTTCTAAATTATACATTATATATTTATTCTAAATTAAAAAAAATCGGTCAGTGTTAAAAATGATGTGGTGTCAACTTACTTATTGTGGTTTATCTTTTGGTCCATTGGTGAAAGAATCACTTGTAAAGGGCTTTGAGCTTCCACAGTGTTAGAAATATTCAAGTGTGAGTAGTATGTGAAGTCTCATATTGACTAGACATATTCTTCGACCAAAAGATATCAAACTTATGTGTCCGACATGAGACAAGTGGAGTGTGCCGCGTTCAATTCCTTGATGAAATATGTGAAAGATAATGTTGTCTTTGATGCTAGTCGGCTTGTTCATAAGTTTGGGATCGAACTTGATAACGAATTTGGTATGTGACCTCGACTATGTCCGAGTCATATTTCCACTTGATTCGATATTTGACCTGTTTTCCCTTTTGTTTTGCAACATATATGGCAAGCCTGAGTATCTTAGCATCATGAGAAATGAATTGACCAACAAAGGCAAGGAGCCTACCGCCACCTCTTCCAAAAGCAAAAGCGATATATTGTGGTCAGTTCTCCCAATCTTACTCCTGAGGGAGAAAGCTCCCAGCCTGCCCCTAACAATTTTGCGGCTGAGGCAGTTCTTCTCCTGCCTCATCAAGTTATCTCAGTTCTGAATGATTGCAACACCGTTGGGATCCTAAAAGGAGAGCTTTGGATGACCGAGCTATCTGACTGTCTTCGCTCAGTGGTAAAGACTCCCATGGTCTTTACATGTAGGGCTACTCTGAAACATGTTGATATCAAAGAGCTTGAGCATCAAAGTCCACACTATGAAGGCAGCTTCTTTGGTCCGATCTTTCATGAATCTTAGGCTGAGCTATGAATCGATGACTACGGACAATGTTGCCCTAGGTTTAGGAGTGGAGACTCTTTCTAAGAATGAGCGGGAGCTTTCGGCTGCCTTGAAGGCATTGAAGAAAAACTCACTGCCGAAGAGGCCGACATGAAGACATGGACAAAGAGAGCCCAGAAGGCCAAAGGGACAGCAGTAGTGCAGCAAGTGCCCTGAAGGATAAAGATGTCGCCTTTCAGAAACTTCAAAATGATTACGACGAGCTTTACAATGCTTTTGCGAAAGGTGGTTGAAGATTTTTTTACTAATGCCGTTGCTCAAGCCAAGGTTCTTAACCCCGAATTGAAGACGAATAGCTTAAGTGTGACCTCTTTCGTAAAGGACAGGCTCATCGTTGTCGGTGGTCCTGAGGTCATAGATCTCTGACGTGAGTCGTCGAACTCTCGCAAATTAAATAATCAGGTTGAATAAAATTTGTAATATAAAGTGGTCAACTTGAATCGTCTCTCTCAAGGAGTTTGCAAGGAACTCAATCGCTCAATTATGTAAAAAAATAGAAATTAAATGAAAAACGAAAACTAAATGAAAATGGGAACTAATTGAAAATGAAAACTAAATGAAAAGGGAAACTAAATAAAAATGAAAACTAAATGAAAAAGGAACTAAATAGGGGGGTTAATACGATTAGAATTTAAAATGGGAAATAAAGCAAGATGTAAAAAAAGGAAATTATCAATTTGAAAATAACCAACCCATAGTTGGGATTCCTATGACATCCATCATCGGACAACAATTACCAAATTGCGGTTGACCCCTAAACGAATCGGAATCCATGCATTTGTTTAGGAACTCTCTCTAGACGATCGCCCAACGTTTAGTCGAATATGGCGCGTCTACTCGTGCAACCCGTTTTACTCGAGGTCATTAGGTTAATCAACCTAAACGTTAAATCTAATATTTAATCTCTTCCCTGGAATGCAATCAAACATCTCGAATCCGAGATAAAGGAAGAAAAATGATTTTGATTCAAAGTGAGGCGCGTGCCATCAAGATTCAACCATGGAATCCTCAACCCTTAGGTTGATTAAAGAATAGAGGAGAGAAAAAAATATGAAAATTGTATCGATCTCAAAATGTAAAATGTAACTTAAACGAAAGATAGATCAACAAGGTCCCCCTAATATCGCCCTTGTAACCCCTAATCAAGCTGGGATTTGAGCTCTACAAATCCAATTCAAAATAAAAGATAACAAAATAGAAATAATGGTTATGGGCCTCGTGTACATTGGACTCTTAATTACAAATTTGGCTTTTAAGTCTTCATAACATTTGTAGCTCTCTGAATTATCTGCAAAATAGGACAAGAATGGAATTACTCAGACATGTAGAAAAAAAGTTATAATCAAAATACTGGAACAACATAAATTTGGAATTCTATTATAAAAGCAAATTAAAGCCAATTAAAAGCCCAACACCCAATTCAGCCCAAAAGACTATTATTTATAGACTAAACAATCATAATATATTTATCAAGAGTAATAAATAAGTGTAATAAATATCAATTATCAATTCTACGAAGGAGGATTTAGAGGGTGTCCTTGCTGAGCTCGCTGTGCAGGACGAGGTCACCACCCTGGCCCAGCATACTTCAAGGGTCGGGATGCCAACTTTATTTGTACTTTCAATTTCTTGTTTTTCGTTTTGGGGGGCCTTGAGTCCCTTTTCAGGATGTAATGTACATTGTTGGGCTTGTACCCATATATTTTTCTTTTAAATATGGTCACTTTCTTTGCAAGTCTTGCCTTGTTTTTATATTTGGATGCATATTTCATTAAGTTGTTAAGGCTCGACTCATGACCTTATGCCTTATTATATTTAGTAAGTGGACTGATACCACATCACCCTTTTAAGATTGTAGGCCTTTTGCACTTATATGATACTCATTTGGTTTATGTCTAAGGGTGTTAACGGGCCGGGCCGAGCCGAACTTTGGTCTTAAAAGGCTAAGTCTGTGTTTAAATGTGTCAACCTGACCAAGTCTTTACCTGTTATGAATATAATTATCAGCCTGTGGCCTGACTTATTTACAAAAAATAAAAGCCTGATTTAGCCTGATAGCATGTTTAAAAAAAATAAGATAGCAAAAATTTATCCAAATAGAATATAAAATCAGCAGCACTAGTAATTCCATAAATTTTCATAAATTTAATGTATATCCAAATATCATAGTATAGAACAAAATCAATCAAAAAGTTTTTTTATCCAATAAAATGGGGTGAAATGAATTGATGAGAGAGAAAAGGCTATTACATGTAGTATATAAAATAAAAATTAATATACCATGCCAGCCTGAGAGGCTCCAAGGTCGAGTTTTTGAATTGGAGCCTGATGCCTTTTTATTAAACGAGTTTTTATACAAATCTAAGTATGGTTCCAACAACCAATTTTAGGCATATAAGCTAAGACCTTCACGAGACGAGCCAAAAGTCCCTATCTATGTCTACCAAATGCGGAACTTAATCACTACTCACACTTGAATATATTTAACATCCCCTCATCAAGTGTAATACCTAACATTATGTTCCTTATAAAGGCAATTGCTATGAAAATCTCTTCTTTTCAAGTATTGAAGTCACACTAATCTTATGTGAAAGTCTTGAAATATCACCATATCCAACACAGAATACTCATTAGTTAGTTATATTAAATACGTCCACAACGGAGGCTTCTTGTGATATGCTTTCGCCGTTATTCTTATCTAAAGCTTATACGGTTCTTGATATGATGCTCCAGCAGTTGGAAAACAATTCCCAAATAGATTAATGTGTGATTGAAGCGATGTAGTG